GTGAAACTTGCCTGTGTTTGTAGCCTGAGATGGCAGCAGCATCTGCACAGAACAGTTCTGATCTGGACAGCTGCTGCCATCTGACTTTGCCTGCAAAGGACTTGGGACTGAGAATAGCACTTCCTTGTGAGCTCTAGTACTTCCTCCCTTCCGTAGCCCTGGGCTTTTACTGCCATGAAACATCTTCACTCTGTCCTTCATGTGCCCTTGTCTTCTGGCTCTGCTGTCCTTGTCCAGGCAGGCTGCCCAGTGCCTAATCCTTAAAAACTTGCTTTAGACTCATAGGCCCATATCCTTAAACATGTTCTGTTCTAACTTCCTGCAAATAAAAGCACACTGTGTGTGCTGTCCTGGGGCTTGCTCTTGGGTTCCATATTATGCTCCTAGAATTTGTCCAGATTGTATTATTTGTTCGGGAGCAACACAGCAGTGCAGTGAGACTAGGAAGAACTTGCTATGAGGGTGTTGCTTACACTGCAGACTGCTAGTGTATCCAAGGAGGCTAGACAAGGGGAAGTTTCTAAAGACAAAAATGAGGAAGATTACATCAGATATTTTGAAGCCAACTGTGGCATTGATGATTAATAACAAAACTGGGTGTCATTCAAGGTCAAACAGACAGTTGCTGGGTAGATTCCTTGTACTAGTACTTTTTACTTAAGGTTGCAGTAGACTCTATAGGAGTTCTTCTATGATAGCTAATAGCAAGCAGTCACGGGTAAAAGTCCTTCCGTCATAACTTGATGTTATTTAGTTTTTAGAAGTTGATTTATAAAGTGACTCAATTTAGATTCTTAAAACTTTCACAGTTGTAAGTATTCATATAGTTCATTGATTTCCATAGCTCTGACGTATTCCTTCATATGAAAATAAGGCATTTATGTGTGTAGATGTTTTGTCTGTGCACCATGTGCATGTCTGGTGCCCAGGAGGGCTGGAAAAAGGTATCAGAGCCTCCGGAGCTGGTGTTAGAATTGTGGGTGCTGGGAATTGAATCCAAGTCAGAAAGTGTTCCTAACCCTGAGCCATCTTTCCAGTCCTTATTTTTATTCTTGATGATCATTTGTTTATGGGCATGTTTTGGTTTTTAGCTTCTATTTGTGGTGGGGTGGGGATTGGTGGTGGTGACTGGCCTTGAACTCACAGAGTCTGCCTCCCTAGCACTGGGATTAAAGGTAAAAGCCACCATGGCTGTTCAGTTCTTAGAATTATTCTTCCTTTTTTTTTTTTTTTTTTTTTTTTTTTTTACAAGACAGGGTTTTTCTGTGTAGCTTTGTAGACCAGGCTAGCCTCAAACTCAGAGATCCACCTGCCTCTGCTTCCCAAGTCCTGGGATCAAAGGCATGCACCACACTGCCTGGCCAGTTCTTAGAATTCTTACATGCTTCTTTCTTAGTCACAGAAATCCCCATTTCTCCAGAATTTGATCCAGAACAGCAGGATATGGGGGTTACAATGGTTGCCCACAGTCTTCATCCAAGAAGCTAGCTAGACTGTTCTTAAAGTGCTTGTACTAAGGCATGCTTCGATGAGTAGGGTGCAGCGTTCAGGTGTTGGGGTGAATGTAGCACTGTATAGTCAGGGTTGGAATGTATATCTCTGATTGATAGCAAGCATTGACCACATTTTCATTGGCCATGCTTGTATATTTTGTTCAGTCTCCTTTAGAAATCCCTTGCTTACTTTTAGGAGTTATGTATGGATCTGGAGTACTGATTTTTTTTGGGGGGGGGGTTAGGTTATATGTGGCAGTATTTTTTTTTTAAATGACACTTTTTAGCTGGGCTCTTTTTTCCCTTTGGAGGGAGGGAAGCGAGTGCTAGGGATTGAACCCAGAATCTTGCTAATGATTGACAAGTGCTAAGCGACACCATCTTTGACTTTTATTTATGATGTTTGTTGTTTTGTGTACTGGGAATTAAACCCAGAGCTACATCCCTATGCCTATTTATAATATTTTTGAAAGCAGAAAAAAGTTTTAATTAGGAATAGTTGTGCACACCTGTAATTGTAGCACTTTGGAAGCTATAAAAAGCAACTGAGTTCTGGGACAGACAGCCTGGGCTTTCCTCTACATACCCTCTCCCAGAGGAGAGGCAGGCAGAGGCAGACCTGTCTGTGAACTGACAGCATGACCACTCTGGTCCATGCCAGGGCATCTAGAAAGGTCCAGAGAGAGAAAGCAACAGACAGGACATGGCAGGGCTGTGTGAGAGAGAGAACAGCAGGGGGCAGAGAATAGAGAAGACCGTGAGAGAAGAAAAGCTACCAACCCAAGAGGCAGCCCGGGCTGGCCAAGATGGCTGCTGTACAGGGATCCGGCTGGAGGAAGGGAAATGGATGCCCAGCCCTGGGAGGGAAGGGTTAGGGTGGGGGCGTGATAGGGAGCACTGGGAGGAGCCACAGGGACTGAGGGAAGCTTGTCTTGGGTTTAAGACCTAACAAGAAGCAATCTTGGTTGTTACTCTAACACAGGTGGTCACTGTCTTTTCTGATTGGCTGGGGTCCAACCTCACACTCTTTCAAGACTGGCTAATTTGAAAAAACAAAATCAGCACAAAGAAAATGATAGAAAAGGGGAAGAGGACAAGTTCTATCAAGTTCTGGGAACGCAAAGGAAGCTTTGTGTAAAAAATGATTTTACCAGGTGGCAGAGATTAAAAGATTTGCATACAGGTTTTACAAGATTAGAGAGATTTAAAAAAAATTTTTTTTCTCACAAATGGAGCAGACATATCCAAATTAAACATACCTCCTTTGAAGATGACCAATGAGAGAATGTGAAATTTGCTTCTCCACATTAGGTGACAGTGCTTTTGTTTTGTTTTGTTTTTCTTTTAGTGTTTTGGAGACAGGGTCCTTCTGTGTAGCTCTGGCCAGCCTTGTACTCACTATGTTGCCCGGGCTAGCCTTAAGCTTCTGACAGTCCTCCTACTGCAGCTTCCAGAATGCAGGAATTATAGGCACTTAATCGAGCTGCCACACCTACTCATTTTTTTTCTCCTCATTCTTATGCAAAAAAAAAAAAAAACTGTATTGCTTCGTTTCTATGTTTTCTGCTCTGAAGGGCTATTTGAGCTTCCCCAGAGCAGAAGGATCAGCATACGGGTTATATAAGTGCACATAATAGTGGTGTCTAGTTACGGCTACTGCAGTTACTGTGTGAAAGCCTGGTCTCTGCAGCCCCAACGAGGAGTCTGGACATCTTCAGGAAAACAGCTCTTAGTTATGCTAACCATCTCATTAGGAGTCTTATTGCAGGGTGGGGTGAGGATTGAACAACATACAGTGAAACGGGGTTTTTCTATGACTTGCTTCTTTGTTTCTGTCAGAAGCATAAAGAATATTCTGGGTATCAAACAAAGTAAGTAGCCCAACTAGCCAGTTCCTTTGTTAAAAAAAAAAAAAAAAAAAAGGTGCACCAAGACCCTAACCAGGCTGGCCACACAAATTGGGACAGAACATTGCTTGTTATACTCTAACACAGGTGGCGACTATGTCTTTTCCCTTGGGTCTGACCTCATAGTCTTTTAGATTGGGTAATTTTAAAAGCATCATCAAAAGGGAAATGAAGGGGGCCGGGGTTCAGACAGTTAAGTGACTTAAGTTCTAAGAATGCACCAAGTCTTTGTCTAACGCTAAACAAAGAGGATTACACCATTTGACCTAAAGCCTTCACCAGGGGATGATAAAAAAAATTTGAATTCCTTTCCATAAGCAAGGCTTTACAGTGTTTAATAGATAGCCTGATTTTGTTTGTTTGTTTCTTATAGTCTCCTATGTAGTTTAACTTATGATTTTATTGGTTGTTTAAATAACCAATAAGGGTGATATGCTAAAGACCCAGATGTGGAGGAAAAGCCAGCCACTTGGGGATGTGAGCATTTTGGTAGTGAATAAACACCTCACTGCCCTTCCTTCCAGGTCTCTTTCTGGGGAGTGGATTGCAGGAGAGATATGGTCAGGTTCATGCATAGTCAACGTCCTCACTTAGCCTACATGGCTCTTTTCGGTTTTTCTTTTCCCTGGCTCTCAAGTACACAGCAAGCTATCACACAAGCTAGTCTGGGCCACCCCAACACAGCACTTAAAGAGGCGCGAGGTAGTGAAAAGCAGAGACTAGATATGGACCCCATATAGTCTGATTAGAAGAAGGGTCAAATCATGGAGTACAGTAATGTCCAAGTCTATTTTCCAGGTTCTGTTCAGAGTGGTGCTCTGGTTTTCTGTCTCATTGGTTTTATTGGGGGTGGAGGCTGTGTTTTAGACTTACTAGCTTAGTTGTCTTTTCATTTATTATAATGGTCCAATCTGGCCTTGATTTACTGTATAGCCAAAGACAATGTTGAACTCCCTAATCATCCTGCTTCTACTTTCTGAGTCCTAGGATTATAGGCATGGTCTACAACCCAGTTTTATGAGGTTCTGGGTATTAAACTATATTTTGATCCCAAGGTTTAGGTTTAAATAGTGCATGAAGCTAGGCATGGTGGCACATACCTTTACTCACAGCACTTTGCAGACAGAGGCAGATTGGATCACTGAGTTTGAAGCCAGCCTGGTCTACATAGAGTTCCAAGACAGCCAGGGTTCACAGAGAAACCCTGTCTCAAAAAGAAAACAAAAACAAAGGAAAAAAAAACCCACAAATAGAAGGCAAAAGAATGCCCAATTGAGCGGTCCTGACCACTGTGCTATCCCACTCATCATGGGTTTAACATTGTCTCAGCCCTGTCTAGCCTACCTGTTAGATATGTTCTCAGAGGTGTGGGAAACCTGGGAGGCAGGTTCCTTCTCTCGCAGGTGTCAGGGCTGCTGGCTTTCCCTTTTCACAGCATGAGATTCCTTGGGAAATTTTAATTTGTTGGGATCCATTGTTTCAGTAGTTGAGACAAAAGTGTTTCTCTAAAATACCTCTTCTCCTTCCAGGAAGGTTACATTGTTGCTCTAGTACCTTCAAGACAAGCACCCCAGTCTGACCAGCATTCTTTTTCTTCTAGGGAATGTGCATTTCTTCTCTGGTGGCCTTCTGTTTTCTCACCGTCATCATGGAAGTATCATCATTTCCAAGGATCACATGAATTCTGTTTCCTTCTATGATGGGGTATGTAGTTTTTCAACCCCCTCTAAAATACATTCCATTTCCCCTTCTCCAATATAGTGTGGCAATGTGTCAGAAACTGCAGTAGACATCAGCCCCGCACCCAAGTCAGTCATCCTAAAGACAGTGGAAAATAGCTGAAAAATACCTCCAGTGACTCTTCACAGGATCCCAAGGCTCACACTTCAAAACTGGAAAGTTCATCCTGAGGCGTTGATGGGCTCTAATACAGCCCTTAACCACAGGAAAGAACTGTGTATGCACAAAAGAGATAAAAATGCTCACTTTCTCCAGGAGTTTAATACCTCCCTCTCACACACTCAAGTTTAGCCTTTACCTCCATGAATATGCTCCCCTAAGAACCATTGTCATTGTTTACCAGGCTTCTCCCCTTCGGGAGAAGGTGGTGGGCCAGAGTTTCCCTCATCTTAGGCTTCCTGGCCAGAGCATAGCCGTCTCTCTCAATGCAGCAGTGGAGTCCAGGCCTTCCACTTGGCCTGGCTCAGCCTCAAAAGCAGTTTGATGGCAAGAACAGAGGTTGATTGAAGTGATTTGGCTAAATAGCTCTTCAAATGAACTTATGATCAAACCTGTCTTCAACAAAACCCTAAAAGCTTTTCAGCATTTGGGCGTATCAACTAGGCAGATTGGGTGGCCTTGTTAGATAAAAGAGGGTTTTGTTTAGTTTTTTAATTTTTGAGAATTATGTGACTGCATGTGGGTATGTGCGCGTGAGTGCAGTTGCTTGTGAAAGCTGGGGAGGGCATGGGAGCCTCTCTTGGAGTTGGAATTATATGGGGTGCTGGGAACTGAACTCAGGTTCTCTGGAAAAGCAGCAAACACTCTTAAAGCACAGCTATCTTTTCATCTCAAGAGTTTTGATAATCAGCTTTTATAAAGTCTTTGAACATCAGCCAGGCAGTGATGACACATACCTTTAATCACAGCACTTGGGAGATGGAGGCAGATGGATCTCTTGAATTTGAGGCCAGTCTGGTGTACAGAGTGAGTTTCAGGATAACCAGGGCTACTCAGAAACTCTGTCTCAAAACAACAACAACAAAAATAGTTATCTAACATCAAGAAAGAAAGTATGTGTGAATTATTTAAGAAACAATGTTTGGCAAACCCATTGGCAGAGGTATGGGTGAGCCAGCCCCAAAGTTGTGAGCATGGGAAAGCTGTTCCTATTACTCATCACACGAGCTGGAGAGCTGCCCCTGTCCCCCATGTCCCCCACCAGGAGAGCGGGCCATGCACCTCACCTGTGCAGCACAGTAGAGCTGGCCCTGAAGATATAGGTGTGGGAGAACTGACCCTGAGGATGTGAAAGCCACAGAACTGGTCCTGCCCCTTGCTCATCCGTTTAAGGGGTGGACTAGCCAAGGCAATGCAGGAGAGCTCGCCCTGGTGGAAGGGACAAGGGAAAGCTGTTGGGCTGGCCAACCCTGCAAACTACACAGGGTTATGAGTTGGCCCATGACAGCATCCACCCCTCCTGTGATCTGTTGGAGCTCGTAAAGATCCAAAGCTGCAGGATCTCCACAGCACAGGGCAACAGCAGGATACCAAGAGGGGTTCCAGTGAGGGCCCAGTATCAGTAGTGTAGCAGAAGCCAGAGGCCTCAAACCAGACCAACGACCCTTTACAGTGAACACTTGCAAGTAAAGATAGATGGACAAAGGGTTTACTGCATGACTCACTGTGCCACACACACTGTAGCTTCCATGATGAGATTGATTTTTCTTTTACTCTTAAATTTTATTTTGTTTTGTTTTGTTTTGTTGGGGAGGTTATGATTGGGATGGAGATGCATGATGTGAAAGACACAGAGAATAAATAGAAAAGAAAGTTTAAAAAAAGAAATAGTGCTGGAGAGGCCGGTGAGATGGCTCAGCGGTAAGAGCACTCACAGCTCTTCCAGAGGAAGAAAAAAGAAATGGGCTGGACAGTGATAGCATGTGCCTTTAATCCCATCACTCAGAAGGCAGAGGCAAGAGAATTGAGGCCAGCCTGGTCTACAGACCCCGTTCGAGGACAGGCTCCAAAACTATAGAGAAACCCTGTCTCAGAAAACAAAAAACAAAACAAACAAACAAAAAAATATATATGCAAAACATTAATAAAATATCTTTAAAACAAAAAATACATATATATGTGAAACATTCATAAAATATATCTTTAAAACAAACAAAAGTGAAGAAACAGTGTTGTGATAGCAAGGTTAGCTAATTTGGGGGGAATAGTTTTTGTTTGTTTGGGTTTTGTTTTTATTATGTTTGTTTTTATTATGAGACAGGATCACTACATAGCCTTGACCTGGCACTCGCTCTGTAGATCAGGCTGGCCTCCAACACACAGAGACCCTGCCTCTGCCTCCCAAGCGCAGTACCACACCCAGCTGTGGGAGTAGGGTCTGAAGAGATACCTCAGTGATTAAAAGCATTTGCTGCTCTGCCATACAACCAAGTACCCATGTTGAGCCGCTCACAGCTACCTTTAACTCAGACTCCAAGAGGGTTCAACCTGTGCTCTGGCCTCTCCCGGTGCCAGCACTCACATGCAGACATGCACACATACATGTAGTAAATAAACAAATCTCTCTAATTCAAGCAAATGTATAATACAGGTAAGTAGTTTTAACTTTTCTTATTACTGGTAGGGAATAGCCACTCATATCCCACAGTGCACCCGTGGAGGTCTGAGGTCAGTCTTCAGGAGTCAGCCCTTCCTTCCTCCATGAATTCTGGACATCAAATTCAGGTTATCAAGCTGTGGGGCAAGTGCTTTTATTCCCTGAGCCATCTCTCCAGCCCCAAATTAAATATTTTAAAATTTCATAATTAGGAAAGATATAGAAATGAATGCTCATTAATCTCTAGAGGCAGAAAGACTTTCTAAGCTTGGGACATGTTTAAGAGCCCTAGATGTTGTGGGACGTGCCTATGACCCAACACTCATGAGCAGAGGCAAGAAGATCGCCACAAGTTTGAGGTCAGCCTGGTCCACATGGGAAGTTCCATGCCAGCCAGCATTAAATAAAGAGACCTGTGTACAAGTTTCATTTCTGTTGTCGTAACAAAACACTCTGACAAAAAGCAATGTAGAAAGAAAGGCAAAAAGCAATGTAGAAAGAAAGGCTTTACAGGCTACAATTCACTGTGGTAGGGAAGTCACAGTGATAAGAACTTGAAACAGATAGTCACATCACATCCAGCTTTAGAATTTAGATGGGTGATCTGAATCTTTCTGGGACCTCCAAAGTGTTAATCCCACTGGTTGAGAATAAGACCACTACCACAGTTTAAATTCAAATTTGAAGCAAGCTTTAACTAAATACTGGACAGGTGGATGGGCTCTGGCCAGGTTCATATCCAGGTTCCTGGGAAATGGCCCAGAATCAAGTATGGCAAGGGCTTAAGAAGGAAAAACCATAATTCATTGCATTTCCCATCAGGTCCAATCAGGGGCAAGCATACATCCTGACATATTTCCTGCATATGAAACTCCCACCTACAGGTGGTCAAGCACATCAGGTGCAGGTGGGTCAAACAAACTTGTTAGGGAAGTGAAAACTGTGGCTGGCATGTTATTCCTCATAAACAATAGCCTCCAGCACCCCAGAAATTTTCAGGGGCTTGCAGATCAGAGCCTTTTTTTTTTTTTTTTTTTTTTTTTTTTTTTCCTCATGGATCTCTAAAGCAGAGTAATTAAAACTTAAAATTTAACTTTGACTCTTCCACATGTCTCAAAAAAATAAATAAATAAACATAAGTTCTAAAGAAGGGCTGGAAGTTGTTCAGTGGTTGAAGTACTTGCCCAGCCTTAGACTGGGCGTGGTGGTATGGGCCTTTAATTGCAGCACTCTGAGAGTTCAAGCACAGTCTGGGCATAACCGAGACTCTGTTCTATTTTGCTGTACCATAGTGTTAGTTTCCTCTAACTTTATATTGAATTTTGTTTCCATGTGTTTAAGACCAGGTCTCACTGTTAGCCCAGGCTAGACTGCAGCTTTATGTAGACCAGGCTGTCCTTTAACTCAAAAAGGTCAGCCTGCCTTTGCCACTTGGGTTCTGGTATTAAGGAGTGTCACACAACACCACACTCCATTTAAAGAATTTTTTAAAGAAACAAACCAATCATTAAGCAATCAAGCTCAATAAACATTTACTTTAGAACTTGTTTTTCTTCTTTTCCTATGTTTGTGTGTATATGTGAGTGTGTTTGCATGTGTTCTGGCACATGTGTATGTGCAAATGTAGGTGGATGGACATGCACATGGAAGCCTGAGGTTGATAGCAAGTATCTTGTTCAGTTGTTCTGTCCACCTCTCTCTTATTTTTAGATAGGCTCTCACCATGAACCCTAGCTGTCCTGGAACTCTTTGTGTTGACCACAAACTCACAGAGATTAGTCTACCTCTCTGTCTCTCTGCATCTACCTTTGCCTCCGCCTCCTGCATGCTGGGATTAACGGCTGGGCCTTCCTTTATCTTTTGAGATAGGAAATCTTAATCACAGCTAGAGCTCATTGATACCGGTCTAGCTAGCAGCTTGCTAGCAGCTTGTTCCAAAGTTGAGACCTTCCAAGGCATTTATTTACTTGTGTAGGTTCCAAGACTCCAAACTCAGGTCCTCTCTTCTTTTTCTTCTATTCTCTTCCTTTCATTTTTTTGATACGGGGTGTCTCTGTGTGGCTCTGACTGGCCTGGAACTCACAGTGGTCTATTGAGGAAAGTACAGTCTTTTTTTTTTTTTTTAATGTTTTTATGTGTATATTTTATGTGTATGTATGTTTTGTGTACATGTATGTCTTTGTACCACTTGTGTGCCTGATGTCCACAGAGTCCAGAAGAAGGTTTGGATCCCCTGAAACTAGAGTTGCAAATTATGTGAACTACCTACCATGAAGGTACTGGGAATGGAACTTAGGTCCTCTGGAAATACTCCTAACCACTGAGCCATCTTCAACCTTAAGCATAGTCTTTTCAGCAAATGATGTTAGAGAAACTGTATATCCACACCAGAAAATGAAGTTGGACCCTTATACCAAGTACAAAAATGATTACTCAAAATGTATAAAAAACCTAAATGGGAATGCTAAAACAATAAAGCTCTTAGAAGAGACACAGTAAGAGAAGCTTCATGACATCAGATTTGTCGCTGACTTCTTAGTTCCCCAAAAGCACAGACAGCAGAAGAATAACTTCACAAAATAAACTTTCCAGAGGGTGGAGAGATGGCTCAGTTAAGAGCTTGTTCTTGCAGAGGAACTAGATTTAATTCCCAGCACCCACATGGCAGCTTTCTCTCTACTTCTAAGGGGTGTAACGCTCCTTTCTGACCTCCTTAGATACCAGACACAGATGTGGTGTATAGACATACATGCAAGCAAAACCACACATAAAGTAAATACATAAATCTTAAAAACCATTATGTTTTCTAGGGCTAGCTAGATCATGACTCAGGAAATAAAAGCACTTGCGGTGCAAGCCTGATGACTGGAGCTCCATCACCAGGCCTCATGTAGAAGGAGAGCCAGCTCCCCAAAGCCTTAGTCTCCAGGTGTGCACTGTGATATACAAGCACCCGTGTATACACACAGATACACGTGTTCATTCCAATTACATTTTACTTATTTCCTGGGGGTGGAGTTTAATGTGGGGCATGTGTGGAAGTCAGAGAAGAACTCGGGGGACTTGATTCTTTCCCTTCCCCGTGTGGCATACCAGGGATTGAGTTAAGGTTGTCAAACTCGAAGCAAGCATTTTACCAGCTGAGTCACCTCTCTGGCTCAGATGATTTTTTAAAAATTACACTAGCTGAGTATGATGGCATATGCCTGTGATCCCGGCATCTGAGAGACTGAAGCAGGTAAGGCTCACCATGAGTTTCAGGCCAGTCTACACTATATAGCAAAACCCTTCCCCCAAAAAATAAATAATAAATTTTAAAAGATTCTGTACATCAAAGAAATGAAAAAAAAAAAAAAAACCAATTCACCAAATGGCAGAAATCCTATATATGATAAACCTTGCCTGGGAGAGATGACATAAGCCTTAATCCCAGCCAGGATACTAGAAACAGGACTATCAGAAAGCCAGGTTTGTCCTCTACTACATAGTAAGCTGAGTCCAACCTGGACTTCATGAGACCATGACTCAACCGCCCCCCCCCCATCCTCCCTCAGACAATACCTTAGAAGAACTTTTGAGCTGACATTTTCAGTTTGGGGAAATGTATATCTAAGCTGGTGTGACAACACGTCTCTGATCCAAGCTGTTTGGGAAACTGAGGCAGGAGGATTGTGAGGTCAAGGCTAGCTTCACCTTTGGTGAGACCATGTATTCCACCCCCCTTCCCCGCCCCCCCCCCAAAAAAAGAAGAGTTTCAACGTCTCCTGTAGCTAGGAGCTGGAGAACATGTCTGTTGCTAAATTCAAGAATCCATTGTCTGTGGAAATAATTGAAAAGCAGTTGGTGCTGGATGAGCTCACACAGTGGCACTGAGGTCCTGCAGACGGACTCTCTTCTGATGCCCCTTTCTCTTTCTAGGACTCCACCAGCGTAGTGGCCGCCCTGCTCGTCAACTTCAAACGCTCGCTGCTTCCTCATCTCCCAGTTCAGTTCCATGGATCAAGCAATTTCCTGATGATTGCCCTTTTTCCTAAATCAAAGATCTATCAAGCGTTTTACTCAGAGGTAACATAAATTATCTATCAAGTTAGCAAAATAGCCACTTTTTTCCCTTAGTAATTTGAATGGTAAGATAGTGTCTTAGAACAAAATAGTGGTAATGTAAAGCCAGGTGTGGGGGCTCAGTCCTTTAATCCCAGCACTTGGGAGGCAGAGGTGGGTGGATCTCTGGTGAGTTTGAGGCCAGCCTGGCCTCTGTAGTGGTTCCAGGCCCTTTCTCCAGAAGGGATTGGGGAGATGACTCAGTGGTGTGAAAAGCACCACTGCTCTTGCAAAGGACTGTCCCAGCCAGCACCTACATGGTGGCTCACAACCCTCTGTGACTCCAGTTCCGGGGCTTCCAATGCCCTTTTCTGGCCTCAGAGGCGTGCACACATGTGGTATACCAAACACGGGAAAAAGACCTATACAAAAAAATTAATGCTTTTTTTTTTTTTTTTTTTTTTTTTTTTTTTTTTTTTAATTAGAAAGAACTAACAGTGATGTGATTCCAGTGAGAGTTGAAGCCAGGCGTACTAGTGCAAACCAGTAATCACAGTACTAGGAGGCGGGGGCAGGAGGATCGGGAGTTCAGGGTTAGCCTCAGCTATATATAGCATTCAGGGCCACCCTGGGCTATATAAGACACTCTCTAAAAGCATGAATAACAACAAAAAGATTAAAAACTGTGTTAAGAAGACTTAGGGAATGAGAGCATAGATAGTAAGTGTTTTAATAATCCCTTCGGTGTTTGAGGGTTGGGAGCCCACAGAGATGAAATCTGCCTGTCTTCTCTTAAGTCCCAATTAAATTTATTTACTTTTTAGCTATTTTATTAAATAAGAAGCCCTTCCTTTTGAGCTAGAGCTATCTATCCCACCCCATGCTGTCCTTCCCTGTGATTGCAGTTCCCTTCTTGCCTTTGCAAATGGCCCTGCATGGTAGTAAGCTTACTGTATATCCTCAAAACATGTTATATAAGGGAAGAAATTTACCCCTAGTGGCCCCCACTAGGTATCCTGTCGTAATTCCAGTACTTTTCAGGTAGAGGCAGGGAATCGGGAGCTCTGAGATTAGCCGCAGCTGCACAGTGAGTGTGAGGCCCTCTTAGACAACAGGATGAATGAATTCTGTGATGCACTTAGAGACCACACAGAAGCCAAAGCCCGAATAATGGCTAGCTAGCATCAGGACTGGAGACGTTCTTGGAAGGCTGTGGTTACAGCAGTTTATGAGCAGTGTCCTCTCTTCACAGTGAGTCACAGACTACAGAGGAACTGGAGTGAGGACAGCATCTGGCTTTCTCTAAGCACTGCTGACCTTGCCTGCCACTTGCATGTGGTTGTTTGTCCCAGTCTGTCCCACTTGGGGACAAAGCTCTGGAATCAATTCCCTTCAGGTGCCCCCCCCCCCAAGCAGTTTCTTTTGAGGCCACCACTGCCTTCTGGTCTTGTCACCAGGGAAGAACATGTTCTTGCAGCCAGAACAGTGTCCCTGACACCTTCTTCCAGGCTTTCTGACCTCTGGAAGGTCATGGTCTCTGAGGACAGGGACCCATTAAGGAATTTCTGGCTCTGAAAAACACTGAACAAAATTGCTTTCCGGCCTCATTTTGAAGCAAACTTGCTTGTGATAGTGTTTTTCTCTACACTGACAGTGCTGGTTTTCAACAGTCATCAGATCCCATGTGGATTCCATATCCTGTTGTTGGGTTTAAAGTGTTCTTTGTTTAAATTATGTTTTGTTTAGGTCTTCTCCCTCTGGCAACAGCAGGATAACTCGGGGCTTTCTTTAAAAGTGATCCAGGAAGATGGATTATCTGTGGAACAAAAGAGATTGTAAGTGGCGCTCTCCAGTGTTTGTGCTCAATTCCCAAAGCTTTGTGGGTGTGCTTTCTCTGCAGGGTGACTCACATTATGTAACATGGGGTCTTTGCCTCTGAAAGGGCCAATAGTCATGTCGTTGTTGCCAACATGCAGGTAGTGGTGCCTTGGGGAAATAGCCAGACAGATGAAATCCAAGCTGGGGATATGGCCTAGTTAGAAGAGCACTCTAGCATGCTAGATGGGTTTGATCCCATCCCAGCATAAACCAGGCATGGGGGCATGTTCCTATAATCCAAGTACTTGGGAGGCAGAGGCAGGTGGATCTCTGTGAGTTCGAGGCTAGCCTGGTCTACAAAGTGAGTTCCAGGACAGCCAGGGCTACACAAAGAAACCCTGTCTTGGAAAGAAAGGGAAAACAAGAATCCCTGATGGTGGAGTAGAAGCAGCAGATGGCTGGAACAGCAGCTGAGATCACACATCTCAAATCACAGACAGGGGACAGAGAGAGCAAAGACATACCTCCTCTAGCAAGGCCACACTTCCCTATTATCCCCAAGCAGCCTCCAGCAGGGGCTTAAGTATTCAAATGCCCACTACCACTAAGAATTAAAACCTGAGACCATCGTCAAAAAGAAAAAGAAGAAAGAAAGAAAAAAAGTGAGGCCAGCCTTCCTCTGTGGGCATGCCAGTTGTTATGCATGGGTACCACATTTGATTTAAGTCTGTGGGGTACTCGTTTAGGAAGTATTTCCGCTCTGTTAGGGTCTCTGGCTTAGAATCTCAGAACTGCTTGTGTACAGTACCTCTGCTGTGGGAGGTGCGGGACTAATCTGTGCCTTCGATATTGTAGGCACTCCTGGGCACAGAAGCTCTTCAGTGCCCTGAACCATCCTGCAGAGGAGTGGAGCTCTCCCAAGCTGCTTGCGGCCAAACTCCCTATGTTGGAGCGGTGAGTTCTGTGCATCTGGCTGGAGTTGTTTACTGTTAGCTTTTGCAGTGTTGGAGACTTCAGTGCTGGTCCTTCCTGAGCTCTGTTACTCACAGCTTCTTACAGACATCTCATATCATGAAAGACTCACTCTTTCTCTTCCCCCCCCCTCTCTCTCTCTCTCTCTCTCTCTCTCAATTTGATTTTTTTGTCTTTTGAGGCAGGGTTTCTCTGTGTAAGAGTCCTAGCTGTCCTGGAACTCACTCTGTAGACCAGGCTGGCCTTGAACTTGCAGAGATTTGCCTGCCTCTACCCACTGAATACTGTAACTTAATTTTTTAAATTTATTTTTATTTTATGTACATTGGCATTTTTGCCTGTGTGTGTGTGTGTGTGTGTGTGTGTGTGTGTGTGTGTGTGTGTGTGTGTGTGTGTGAAGGTGTTAGATCTTGGAGTTACAGATAGTGTGAGTTATCATGTGGGTGCTGGGAATTGAACCCTGATCCTCTGGAAGAGCCCCCCTCCCCAGGTCCTCTCCCCCCCCCTTTTTTTTTTTTTTTTTTTTTTTTTTTTTTGAAACAGGGTTTCATTGTGTAGCCCTGGTTGTCCTGGAATTCAGTCTATAGTCTAGGCTAACCTCAAACTCAAGAGATCTCTGCCTCCTGAGAGTTGGGATTAAAGGTGTGACCTAGAAAGAATATCTTTAAGACTTATTAGCACTTAGGTGAGAAATCAGTAATGTGAGTTGACAGGTCAGACAAGGCTGTGACAGTGCTATGACAGTTGTCCTTGTTTTTCTAGGTTTCTCCACCATTTTGCTATCAGCAGCATTGGTCAGGAGCCTATGATGAGGACCCATCTCCCATGCCTGCTGCAGCAAGCTGACATCAATCCTGCTCACGGATTAGAAAGTGACAAGGTAGAGGTCACCAAACATGCTCGGACTTTACAGCAGGATCATCTGCAAGCCTGTGTCAGTTAACAGGAGCACAGTTGGAGTCCTTGTATAAGAGTGTCCACCTCCCTGATTACTGATAACAGTATACGTGAAGCTGTCTTTATAGAATGACTGCAGGCCAGACCCAATGACAGGGACCAGCCCTGACATCATGCCATGCCCTCTCTGCTTCTCCGGGTCTTTTAAACTCTTACTGTGTGTTCTAAGGCTGACACTTGTTTCTGCTACTGACAATGACTTAACCTAGCAGCAGATGACACACTGTGCTATTAATGAAAGGAAGGCTGTCTGTATTGCCCTCACTAGGGCAATAGAATAGACCTTAATGTGCTCCTGCCTCATTTTTTCCTATACTTGCCTCTGCCCACCATTCCTTTAGAAGCTATATATCATAATTTGTTTCTGTGCAAGTCTAAACATGCTCATCTACTAATTAGAACATTCCATTTTTCCTTTAGATCAGAGGGTAAAGAAAGAAGCAAATACCTATCTTGTGATATTTTACTTACAAGGTGCTATAGTCCTGGCCTTTAAGTAAGAGTATTTGGCTGGGTGGATCTTAAGAAGCCACATCTGGAGCCAGAGAGACAGCTCAGCAGTTGGGAGCACTGCAGTCGGGAGCACTGACTGCTCTTGCAGAGCTGCTGGGTTTGAGTCCCAGCATCCACTGCTCACAGTGGTCTGTAACTCCAGTTCCAGGGGATTCTTGCTTCCAAGGATACTGTACACACATAGTATGCAGATATCCATGCAGTCAAAACACCCATACTCATAAAATAAAAGTAAATAAATAAAGAATTGCACACCCATGATCTTGGGTGTATGCTGTAGGCATTTCTCCTTCTCCTCCCACTTGTGCTTAAATCTGTTAAAGTCTTTTCTTTATAAATTCAGCTGCTGAATGTCAGGCTCAACATTAGTGTATGTTATCTATGCCTGGGCCTGTCTTGATGGGCCTCACATGTGAAATAAAACATCTAGCCAGGTATGATGGCCTGTGTCCTAGTGTTCAGGAGACTGAGACAGGATCATCGTAGCTTTGAAACCATCCTGGGTAGCACAGAGTTTTAGCCCAGCTTGGGCTACAGAGTAAAACTTTTTCTCAAAAGAAAAAGAAAGCCATCCTGTAGACAGGCCTTCCTAGGCTGTGTCATTGTAATAAACCTTCTCCTGTGATTACATGATTCTTGTCCTCCTCCTCTGCCACTCTTCCTTGTTCAGTAAATCCCTTAAGTGGCCTTAGATTGGCTGCCTGAGGGAAACCTAGTTCTGTGTACTGGTATAACATAGCTAAGGCCATTGGGATGGTCCCTCTTTTCCTCTGTGATAACCTTTTAGACAGCGAGCTCATCTTGTGGGAGAGCTCTGCCTCACCACAGACAGCCCCTCAGAAACATCTTCAGCATAGCTCCTCTGCTCACCAATTTCCACACTGCTACATGGTTTTCCCAGACTTCTTTCTGCTCTCTGAAAAATGTAACAAATGTAATATCCCTGAGTGTCTCCTTTACTAGATAGAGGTCTGTGGCCTTAAGTACTTTAGGCTCTCTAAATGCTTAATCTTTTAAGTGATAGTCACAAATAATGTCCATAGAAAGTTGTTTACTAAACTTCATGAATCTTCACACTTACCCTGTGAGTAAGTAGGCATTGTAGGTTTCTAGTGCTATGATAAACTCCATGACGGGGTGGGGGGGGGTGGGGGGCGGGATTGTTTCAGCTTTCAACTCTCAAGTCACACTCAGTCACAGAGGGAAGTCAGGGCAGGAACCTGGAAGCAGGAACTGAAGGAGAGGCCATGGGGATGCTGCTCACTGGTGTGTTCCTCAGACTCACTCGGCCTGCTTTCTCATGTAACCCAGGACCACCTGCTCAGGGATGAACCTCTCCCAGTATCTGGGCCTTCTTTCAATTTGCAGTCAAGAAAATGCCCCACAGACTTGCCTATGGGCCAGTCTGATGGAGGCATCTTTTTCAATCGAGATACCTCTTCCTATTTGACTCTAGCTCTTGTCAAGAAAAGAAAAGAGAGAACCCTGCCTACTCTGGACAGTAGTAGACTTTGTCATTTGCTCTAAATCATGGAGCTAGTGAATAGTGAGTGGTACTGAAGTTCAGGCTCACAAAGCCTTGCTCTGAAGACCAGCTTTCTTTGCCTTTTACACAGTGTTCCCATGTTGAACTAGAAACCCATGTGACATTTCTTTCATGTAGGTCATCATCAGCATTGTAACTGGTCTCCCTGGCTGTCACGCTAGCAAGCTCTGTGCTTTCCTGGTCACTCTGCATAAGGAGTACGGCAGGTTAGTACGGCTTCTGCTTTTGCTTTGGGGAAAGAGATGGTGTTCCTGGACCTGCCCTGGTATAAGGGAACCTTGGACATCTATTGGCATTCAGCATGACATTACTGGCCCAGCAGTCATCCACCATCTCCTCATTTGATACAGTGTTGTGCTCAGTGCTTTGTTTAGTGTTTACAGGTTAACCAGATTCTTGCCTGGAGTGATTTTGTCCTATAAACATTCTTTTTATTTGGGGGATAGTCTCATGTAGTCCGGGCTTGCCTTAAGTTTGCTGTAGCTAGAGCTGAGGATGACCTTGGGTTCTTGATCCTTCTGCCTCCACCTCCCAAGTGCTAGGTTTTAGTCATGATCCTCCACACCCTACTTGTGTGTACTTCTTTCTCTTTCTTTCCTTTCTTCCTCCCTCCCTCCTTTCCTCCCTCCCTCCCCTCTCTCTCCCCCCTCCCTAGTTTCCTACTTTCTTCTCCCTCTTCTTTCTCTTTCTCCCTCTCCCTCCCCTGCCCTCAGCCCCCACCCATGCCTCTGTCTCTCTCAGAGGATGGCCTCAAATTCATTGGAAGTTCTCTGCCTCAGCTTCTTGAGTGCTGGCATTACTGGAATGCCTTCTCTGTCTTTTTTCCCAGTGGAAGGCTATTTCCTACAAAAGATCCAAGGAACCTGGTTTCAGGATAGTGGGCTTCTAACCCAGCTAGTGCCTGCTGTCTTTTTTTGTGATATCACAGTAACTTTCTCTCCATAGTCATTGGCAGCATATTTTTGAGGGAACTGGTCATGTAAATCCAAGACTGAGCTAAGAGTAAGTACCCTTGCTGCTTCCAGATGGATGGTATACCGACAAATCATGGACAGCTCTGAATGTTTCCATGCTGCCCACTTCCAAAAATACCTTTCCAATGCCCTGGAGGCCCAGCAGAACCGCTCTGCCCGCCAGTCAGCTTACATTCACAAGAAGACCAGACTGCTGGTGGTATTACAAGGGTGAGTGTTGGAAACCTGGGAATGGAAGTGAGGATGGGGCCCTTGTCATTAGTGTTACTTTATATGTGCCCCATGCTAGCAACAGTCCTCAGAAAGGCCATATTCTGGCCAAGGGTAACTGATTGCTTCTATATTGTAACATCTCAAGAGGTGAGGAATTGGGGAATCTGATAAAGATTCTCCAATAATTTATAGAGTGATTGATAATAGTCTTTAAACCTTTCCATCTAGGTATGGGAGCCTCATTTGTCTTATTCCTCCCTCTTAGAATTGCAGATGTGGCTCCTATGTAGTCTATAAGCCCTCCCCCATTTGTCCAGTGGCTATCCCAGAAGACCTCCAATGAGAATTGCTCATAGTACTGTTGAGTGGGGTATCTGCTTTTTACCTGATACCAAGCTGTGATGGTAGGCTCTTAAATCCTGAAGTCCCTCTAAGTACCACTATTGTCAGAGGGAAGGTAGATACGCCCCCCCCCCCCCGTGTGTCTGTGTGTGTGTGATGTAGATGTATGAGAGTGCACCCTGCATGCTCACACACGGAGCTGGAAGAGGACATTGGCGCTAGGCTGTCTCTCAGAACACTGCGATACAGGTGGGCACAGCCACATCTTGCTCTTCTTTTTATCTGGGTGCCAGAGATTCAGACTCACATCCTCAAGTTCGCAGAGCCAGTGTTTTACCCACTGAGCCATCTCCCCAGCTCAGAAGGAAGGTTTGGCAGTGTGTAGCAGAGAACTTCTGTTTACTGGCCTTCCATGGAGGAATGTCTTGCAAGTCTTTTATCACCTGGGTCCAGTAAGGAATGTGTTTCAGGAGGATGGAACAGGGGCAGGACTGGTTTCTGGTGTTTGGTTGTAAAGAAGCTTCGTGCTATTTTCACAATAATTAATGTTTCCAGCAGGCTAGTTGTTTCCAGTTAAGGACAACCTCAGGTCCAAAGCTCTGTTTAGGCTCCTGGTTTGAATGATTGGTCCTGGAAGAGGCCGGGATGGTGGTCCTGGAAGGGGCCGGGATGGTGGTCCTGGAAGGGGCCGGGATGGTGGTCCTGGAAGGGAGGCAGGTGCACTGTGCACCCTTGGGGCCTTCCTACACTGAGAAACCTTGTTGCAGTCTGACCCCTTCTGCAGTTTCCTTCCTGTCAGCCCTATGGCCATGGGATCCTCAAAGGGAGAATGGGGCCCCGAAACCACTTGTTTTCTTCAGGTTTTCTGTTGCTTCTACTAGTCAGAGGGATGGGCCAACCCAGCATCATTACTTCTGTTCTCCCCTTGCCAGATGAGGGTCACTGGGAGTGGGGACCTACAAAAGAACTTGCTGGCTTGTCAGTATACACAGCTAAGGTCATTTCCATTATCCATTATTTCAGATAATACTGTTGATTCCTTAACTCTGACTCTACAAGTCTGTAAAAATGTTTGATATCTAACTGCTTCTGGTCTGCTATAAGAACCAGCTCATGCAGCATAGATCCAGCACTCACCCAGTCACACAACAGAGTATAAGGGATGCCACAAGATATCCTGATAGACTCAAGTCAGAATAACAGAATAACAGCTAAACCCAACCATGATGGCTCACACTTATAACTCCAGAACTTAGGAGGTGGAAGCAGGAAGATCGACTTTTGGCTACATAAGCTTGAGGCCAACCTGGGTTATATGAAAACATGTCTCAAAAAAAAAAAAAAAAAAAAAAAAAAAGCTAATAGCATGTAAATAAATGCTGTGGGCCTTTACCAAGGCACTTAAAGACTTGGCCCATGGCCCTTTTTTTTTTTTTTTTTTTTTTTTTTAGAGCCAATAGATTACATATAGTTACCTGCTTTATAGTTTGTACAACTCCTTAATTCTTTGGCATTAGACATTATTAAGGTTGTTGGTAACGGAAGAATGCCAAGGGCTCCTCATGTCAGGAATTTCCTCCCTCTTTCGTCTTACTATGTAGATAAGATACTTACTACATCTTGCTATGAAGTTCCAGGCTGGCCTCAAACTTGTGACCCTCCTGCTTCAGCCTATAGAGTGTTAGGGTTGCAGGTATTTACCATAACACTTGGCACGTTTCTCAAAGCCAGCTTCTATTTTCGTCAGTATATCCCTAATTGGTTTTAAAAAGATTTTTTTTTATGTGACTGAATGTTTTACTTCCAGATAGATAGATACATACATACATACATACATGCATACATACATGCATACATACATGCATACATGTGCATGCAGAATCCATATAGGGGACCAGAAGAGGGCATCAGCTTCCCCTAGAACTGGAGTTAGAGACAATCTTAAGCCATTGAGAACTGGGCATTGAGAACTGAACCAGTGTCTTCTATAAGAGCAAATGCTCTTAAATTTTGAGCCATCTCTCCAGTCCTGGTTTTTGTCTTTTTTTCATGTGTATGTATCTATGTATGTCATGTGACCACTAGTGCTCCCAGAGGCCAGGGGAGGGCATCAGAGCCTCTGGAGCTAGAGTTACAGATGGCTGTGAGTTCTGAGACTCAAACTCAGGAGCCATCTCTCCAGCTCCTCACCCAGCAGCAGCAGCAGCATGTCCTTGGAGAAAAACAAGCCAGAGAGCCTTGTTTCCACCTTGTTTTCCATCTCAGAGAGTGGGATTGAACTTTGACATAGAATAGAACTGTTGCCTCAAAAACAACTTAAAGGGTTCTCATTTGTTTTTGAGACAGGGTCTCACTTCTCATAGGCCAGCCTTACTATATAGCTGAGGATGACTGTGAACTTTGATGTTGAGGTTACAGGAATGTGTCAGAGTTTATGTGTGCTAGGAATTGAGCCTGTGGCTTCCACTCTAACAACTGAACTGCATCCCCAGGTTCTAGAGTGCCCTTTTACTCTTGCCAAGCTTTTAGGAATAAAGGAATGAAAGGGAAATAGGTATGGTTATAAAAGGGGTCTTTTGTCGAAGTTTTACATCTTCACATAAAATAAATACATCTTTAAAAAAAGAAAAGAAAAAAAGAAAAAGATAGCCCATGCTGGCCTTGAACTCACAGGAGTCCTTTCCCACAAGAATATTGAAATGTACCTGTAAGGGCCTGCAGTGTGTAGGTCTCCCCTGCACCCAAGCACTGCGCTGGAAATAGATGCATACTTGCCCAGGGAGAGAAGCCAGGGAGTAGAGCCTAGGTAGGGCTCACTCAACAGTTTCTTGAGCAAGGCAGGCAGAGTGACTCGGGCTGGGAATCCTTGTATTTTGGAGGCTGAGGCAGGATTCCACAAATTGCAAGCCACCCTGGAGCTATATGTGAGAATCTATATAAAATAAAAATAAACACCCTGGGGCAGCCAGGCGCCTGGGGGGAAACTAGAACTTAGCACACCCTGTCCTCCCTGCAGCCCTGATGGTTGGGCAGGACCTAGGGCCTTTTACAGGTGAGTTGTGTCTAGGAGCTCAGGACATAGCTCTGGCAGGCTGCGCCTACTTCCCGACCTCCCACTTCTCTCCCAAAGGCCCCCACACACAGGTCCATCTGATCTGCCACTGCCGTCAGGTCAGACTTCCTCCATAGACTTAGACCTTTAGATAGAGTCCGGGTCCCTTGGGACAGTGCTGTCCTCTGTGAGGTGAAGAGCCCTCTTCTTAGAGTCGTTCCGAGGTCTGCTGGGGTCGAATGTCCAGTTTGTTGATCTGTATTGCTTTAGGCTTCAGAGACTAACACTGAAGGTAATGCAGAGATAGTGAGCAAATAAATGAGGGAAGATGGGACCAAAGACACACACGCAGGAAACAAAGCAACAAGGAGAGACTGGAGCTGACAGTCAGTGCTTTGCAGGAAACCTGGAGGGAGGGGACACAAGGGGTCCCAAGGGGAATTACCAGTACTGCAGTGTGCAAAGGCCCAAGATGTCTCCATAAGGTGCCACTTGACAAGACTCAATGGTGGAGCACTCAGCTTGCATGTGCAACACTCTGAGTTCAATTCCCAGCACCGCAAAAACCAACCAGGTACCACTTGAGCAGACTGGAAGGAAGCCAGCCAGGCAGATGCCAGAGGAAAAGAGCATTCCAGCCACAGGGAACAGAGTACAAGGTAGAAGTATGCCAGGCATGTTCCGAGAAGACCCCAGGAGGCCAAAGTGGTTGGGTTAGGGGTAGGGATGGGATAAGCATGGCATTCCCCCTGCACTGTTAGAGGTCAGATGTACGGGCTGCCTGAAGTCAGATGTACGGGGCTGCCTGGCCCTCAGTAAGGGGCTCGGCTTTTGCGCTGAGACGAAAACCACTGGAGAGTTTGAGCAGAGCAGTAATGTGATCTGTCAGAGAGTTTAGCAACCCCTCTGGCTTCTGTGTTGAGAACAGTTTGCTGTGAGGCAGGACAGAAGTAGGGGGCAGCTGGCAGGCCATCGCGGTGGCCCAGGGAAAGTGGGAGTATGACCAAGAAAGAATGGAGCCAAAGCCTAGCATCTGAAAGAGTAAAGTCCCCTGGGCTTAGAATAACAGAAACTTGGGAGGAACCGGCTCAGGGTTTGGATTTCAAACACATTCGCTCCTAAGCAATGATGTCAGGCTGGTTCTGTAAATCAAGACTGGAGGGAGGTCCAGGCAGAAGATGGGACTAGAAATGGTATTTGACAGATCTGATGACCTGGGAAATTGGGGGGGGGGGGGAGCGCGGAGAAAAGAACTAAAGAAACACAGCCTGGCAGAAGCTCCTGAGTTATGACCAGAAAGCAGCCCCACCCTCAGAGCCCCAGTCGCCAGCTTCTTATCTCCAGACTAGGTGGGCTCTTCCGCCCACTCTTCCCATTTAGGGGAACTGGAAGAACTTGGGAACGAAGAAGCACGTCGTGGATTCCAGGGGCTCTGAATCACTAAGTGGGGGTATGGCCTTCTGTCTTCAGCCCTCAGCCACTCAGAGCTCCCCTCTTTGATTCTGTAGCCCCAATCAGAAAGATAACCTGCGCTTTCTCCTTTAGTTACACGGATGTCATCGATGTTGTCCAGGCCCTGCAGACTCACCCAGACCCAAATGTCAAGTCCTACTTCACCATTGGTGCCGTCACAGTGTGCGTGGAGCCCCTGAGCTGCTACATGGAGCACAGGTAGACACCGAAGACCACCTCCAGCCCACACCGTGGTGTTGTAGGGCACTGTAGTGATTTTCCCTCCCCTTGGCTTGTGGAACACATCACTCCGCAGTGTATGCAGTAAACACCCCACTACTCTTTGATTTGTATGAGGTCCTAAAAGGTGCAGAGCAGGGTGAAGTAGATTATGGAAGACGGGCTTCATTCAGCTCTGTGAGAACAAGGGCCGAGTCTCTCGTCTTGTGTCTTGTCGATGCTTGGTGCATAGTGAGCGCTAGTCAAATATCTGTTGTGGGTGTGGGGAGGGGGTACAGTATGGGGTTGGGGACTCTCCAAGTGTATTTAATAGATCTTAGGTTCTATTCTAAACACTGAAAAAAAGGATAGAGGGGGACAGAAAGAAGGAAGGAGAAAGGGAGGGAAGACGGAAGTAAATAAATCTAATCAAAGCTAGATATGATGGCCAAAGACTCAGGAAGCAGAGATAGGAGGTGTCGGCAGACTTTTCTGTCCCACCAGCCCATTCCCAAATAACCACACAGAGACTTAATATTCATTATAAATGTTGGCCAATAGCTTAGGCTTAACTCCAGCTAGCTCTTAAAATTTAAATTAACCTATTTAATTTAATTTCTGTTTCTGTTACTCTGTGTGCTGCCCCAGACTTGTTTACCTCAGCAAGGAGGATCGCTAGTTAGAAGAAAGGACTAAGTACTGAAGGCCAACCTGAGCTACAACAGAGTGAAGATCCTGGTTCCAAACAAACAAATAAGCAAACGTTAAATGAGTGTGCTAACATGTATTACAGACATAGATTAATAAGATACTGCTGGAGATAAGGATAATTATTTAAATTGAGTTAATGTTTAAAGAAGCCAGTCTAGGCTACAAGAAACCCTATCTCAAACAGCAAAGAAACAAACATTAGTAGCTTTTAGTTAGATTAAGAAGAAAGCACCAGTGGTGGTAGTGACCCTTTAGTCCCAGCACTTGGGAGACAGAGGCAGGTGGGGTCTTTGTGAGTTCAAGGCCAACCTGGTCTACAGAGTGAGTTCCAGGACAGCCAGGGCTACACACAGAAACCATGTCTCAAAAACAAAGAAAACAAAACAAAACAAAAAAACAAAAATGAAAAGAAAAAGAAAAAAAGAAAGAAAAATAAATATAGCCACCATATTAATTGGAAGAACAAGAATGTCAAGCTCTGAGAAATTTCATTCCATTTTGTGGGAGTCATGCATACACATGTGGTTTGGGGTGGACTAGGTGTGGCCCTATTGAAGGAGGTGTGCCACTGACTAAGGGTTCCAAAGACTGGAGTGCTCTGCCTCCTTGTTTTGGATCAAGCTCTTAGCTGTTTCTGCCACCATACCTTTGTTCCTCCATGGACTCTAGCACTGTGAGGCCATATGCCAGTTAAACTTTTTTGTTTTTGTTCTTCAAGATAGGGCTTCTCTGTATTCTTTTGGAGCCTGTCCTGGAACTTGCTCTGTAGATCAGGCTGGCCTTGAACTCACAGAGATCGGCCTGCCTCTGCCTCCGGAGTGCTGTTAAAGGCATGAGCCACCAATGCCTGGCTAAACTTTTTTTTTTTTTTTTTTTTTTTGAGTTTCCTTTATCACAGCAGTAGAAAGGTAACTAAGGCAACATACAAGTCCATGTGTTCAAGATACCTGTCTCCTCCAGGTTTTATATCAGCATTATTGTCAGAGGTTTCATATCTAGCCTTGTGATAGGATGTGATGCCTTGTGGGAAGTCTTTGAGAATTGCCATGGGCTTCAATGAGAAAGGAGACAGGGCCCAAGAAAGGCCTAAGTGATTGCACTCCAAAGACTTAAAGGCACTTAAAGACACATCCCACAGTTGATTCAGTGGACTATGTAATATCACACACACACACACACACACACACACACACACACACACACACACACACACGATAGAGCTTCTGGAGTGAGTACTAGGAATCTTAAGAAAGTATGAGAAAGTCAAGAGAGAACTGGATTTACAGCCTAAAGTAGGATTCACCTAATTTGGTTCAAATGGTGTGTATCCAGCTGATTTATAAAATCGAAGAATGAAGCTTGTGCTCCTAAGCATCTAACTTGCTGATCTGGGAACCATGGAGCTCTGTGGACCTAGACATACCTTGTCTCAGACCCACTGCATGGAGTGCCTTGGGCAGTATGTGCAGCCTATTTACCAACCCTCCCCTCCACCTACTCTTCTCATCTGGTAATAGATTTCATCAAAGTCTGAGTCTGAGTGCTTGTATATTGCTCATCCTTATGGGAATTTGATAAAGACTCTGTAGTGGCAGTTCCCTTCTCTAGGAGGAGCATTGTAATAGTTGGGCTTTTAATTTTTTTTCTTATTTTAATTATCTTCCTTGTTTTATGTTTGTTTTCAAGACAGGGTTTCTCTGTGTAGTCCAGGCTGCCCTGTAGACCAGGCAGGGCTCAGCCTCAGAGATCCTCCTGCCTCTTCCTCTTGAGTGCTGGGACTAAAGGTGCATGCCATTACTGCCCGTTTCCCCCCAAAGTGTTGGGGGATCAAAGAGGAACTGAGATTATAGCTTGGCAAGGCCAGCCATGGTAGCTCATGCTTTTAATCCCAGGACTCTGGAGGCAGAGGCAGGAGGATCACTGTGATTTCAAGGCCATCTGAGTCTACATTTTGAGCTCCAGGACAACCAGATCTGCATTGAAAGACCCTCAATAACAACAAAAAGAAAATGAAGAAGGAGGAGGAAAGAAGGAAAATAAAAGCATGGCGGCACTAAAAAGATGGCTCAGCAAAGAAAGGCACAAGTACAGGCATATGCACACTAACTCAGAAACAGAATACTAAATAACTTTACAAACAAAACAAGATCATGGAAGCTTTGACATTGAAGGCCCCTAGTAGAGTTTGATGGCCAAAACTGATACCATTTTCCTTCACATTTCCTTTTACTCAAAAACGCATCTTTTATTTTTTTTAAGATTTATTTTTATTTTATGAGTATGGGTGTTTTACCTATATTTAAGTATGTATATCACATGTACAAAGTGTCCATGGACGATAGTAGAGGATGTGGGAAATCATGAAACTAGAATTACATATGCCTGTGAGCTGACATGTGGGTGCTAGGAATACCAACTTGGGTCCTCTAGACAAACAGTCAGTGCTCTTAACCTCTGAGCCACCTCTCCAGTCCCAACAATATGTTTTCCTAAAAGACCGACTTGGGCTGAGGTTGTTCTTTGTTTGTTTGTTTGTTTGTTTGTTTATCGGTGTTTCAAGACAGGGTCTCTCTGTATAGCTCCTGGAACTTACTCTGTATGCCAGGCTGGCCTGGAACTCATAGAGATTCACCTCCCTCTGCCTTCCGAGTGCTGCCACCAACTGCCCAGCTGCCATCTAGGGATTTCTATGGGACCTTAACTTCAGTGCAAAGCTATGGATGTCTTGGATAACTATTGCTCTCTCAATGTCAGTACCACCTGGCACTTGCACGATCAGATTCATACTTTTGTGGGAAATAATGATGACTGAAATAAATGGTTTTGAAATACATTTTTCTTTTTTCCTTAGATTTCTCTTTCCTAAATGTCTTGACCAGTGTTCACAAGGTAAGCAGTATGTTTTACTTCCTGTTTATGTGGCCATCACACTCTGTTCAAATACATTTGGTTTTTCTCTGTGCTGCCACCTTTCTGGAATCTACAACATACAAAACTGGTCCAGGGAAAACTTTGATGACTTCCTTGTGTCCTGCTGGGTAGGCACACATGCTCAGGAACTTTTCTTTTGATGCAGTAGCCCCCCCCCCCCCCCAGCTGCGGTACGCATGCCCTGGCCTTGCCACTGATGAAAAGTAAATGGAACCTCTGGATCAACAAGGTCGTTAGGGGTCCTGGAGAGCCAGGATAAATCATAAATTCCCTGCAGTGATGCTGAGATACTTAGTGCCATCAGGGGGCTGACTGGGGAGATGCTTAGGGGGTGAGCTTTCTGGGGGAGTGGGGAGCTACCTGGGGAGATGCTTAGGGGGTGAGCTTCCTGAATCAGCACAGTGAGCATCTGGTAGAAGAAAACATCTCTGTGTCCCCAGCATACTTGTGCCCTGCTGATCCCTTTGCCAGTCCACAGGGACAACAAAAACAACACACCAAAGCTGTCTTGGCTGAAAAGTGAGCTGGCAGCCGCCCAGGCATGAGGCCAAGGAGAAATGTTCTTGTTGAACTTGGTATACCAGGTAGTAGCAGTCCTCCTTTGCTTTTTTTTTTTTTTTTTTTTTTTTTTTGAGACAGAATCTCATGTAGTCCCACCTGGCTTCAAGTCACTAAGTTGTTATATAGCATAGGCTAGTCTTGAACTCCTGATCTTCCTTCTTCTACCTCCCAAGTACTGGGTTAGTATAAGCTGTCATGCCTGCCTTGGGCGGCAACAGGGTAAAATGAAAGTTGTCTGGGTCCCTCCATAATGCCCTAATCCAAATAGATTCAGGTTTGTGGAGGTTGGGTTAGTAGGACCTGCTGACAAACTAGGTGTAGGACATAAATTGGAAAAGGCATATTCAGAATGGCTCTTCTTTGTAGTTCATAGGATTAGGGAAGCTGAAGATAGCTGTCCTTGAATAGAAAGCACAAGAGAGACACTGAAACAGGAGGTAATGGGGGGAGGGGGGCTTTCTGATCCTTGGTTCTAGGCTTCGAAGCCATGATCAAAGACAGACAAAAGCCCAGACAGATCGAGCATGCAGATGTGGAGTTAAAAAATTTAGAAAGCCCGAGATGAGAAGGGGATTAGAAAATCCCAGAGACTGAAAGATGAAACAGGAAGAAATAGTACTTCAAATATCAAGGACAGAGAAAAATCAGTCATGCTTAATGTTATAGAGACCTCAAGGGAAGGACAATTTAAATACAAAACAAACAAAAAAAAAAAAAAAAAACATTAGTTTTGCAAGTGTGAAGAGCACTGATCTCATCAGGAATGTCTGGATGACTGAGTTAGTACAGCAGGTGGATCTCTATGTAGAAGCCAGCTATAGTAAGTCCTAGGCCAATCCTGGACTATACAGTAGTAAGACTGTCTGGAAAAAAAACATAATTGCAATTTTTTTCAGAGGGTAGCAGTGGCAAGCTGCGTAGTAGGATCATCTGGGTTGCAGAGTGAGACTCTTCCTGTGTGTGTGTGTGTGTGTGTGTGTGTGTTTGTTTGACACAGGATATCTCTGTAACCCTGGCTGGCCTGGAACTCACAGAGACCCTCCTGCCTCTGCCCACCAAGTGCTGGCATTAGAGTGTACCACTATACCTGGCTGAGGCCCTCCCTCCCTTCCTCTCTCTCCCCCTCCCTGCCTCCCCTCCCTCCCTCCCTCACCTCTGCTTCTCTCTCCTTTGCTTTTTTCTTTTTCAGTTTTTCAAGAAAAGGTTTCTCTGTGTAGCCTTAGCTGTCCTAGAACTTGCTTTAAAGACTAAGCTGTGCTCACACTCATAAAAGCCAGTGCTTCTGCCTCCTGAGTACTGGAATCAGAGATGTACAACTCTACTGCTAGGCAAGACCCTGTGTTGGTTTTTTGTTTGTTTGTTTTTTATGTTTATATATGTTTGATTCTGAATTATTTGCTGGAAAATAAGCCTGAGGACTGAGAAGGCCACTAGTCTTGATAGAGGAAGTGAGCTAATAGTTGAGAAATGAAGGCTGACTCAGACAGTGATAACTTATAAGAAAATGGAGGACACTTGCTGACCAAACTGGACTTGGTAGCTCACACTTAACAATCCAAGCATTCTGAAGGCTGAAGCGGGGGAATTATCACAGGTTCCAGGCTATGGAGTAAAATCACATCTCAAAAAACAAATAAAACAGCCAGGCCAGTGGTGGCACTTGCCTATAATCCCAGCACTCAGGGGGCAGAGGCAGGTGGATCTCTGTGAGTTCAAGGCCAGCCTGATTTACAGAGCGAGTTCCAGGACAGAAACTCTGACTTGAAAAACAAACTAACAAACAAAAGTAGAACAAATTAACCTACTAAAAACATGCTGACCATCCTTGACCCTTGCTCTTCCTGTCAGGGTTGGAGCCACCTTAGTACTCCCCTCAGCCTCTCCCCACTTTTCTTGGTGACACATCAGCACAGACGGTTAGGTTCCCCTGACAGAGTGTTGAGGAAATGATCTGTCTTCATTATCCATGAACCTGGAGCAGCCCTGGGCAGCTCTCTCAAGCAGAAAACCTCTTCTAGTGTTCACAGTTCCAGGCTGAGGCAGGCTGAATTCCCTTGGGCACCTGGAATGTATTTTATTAGTGAACCCTTCCAATACATTGTTCAAAGGCAGTTTGTATTTGCTGGCATGTGGATAGATGATGTTGAGGTATGGGGTCATAAGTTAGTTGTTGGGTTTTTGTTTTTTGTTTGTTTGTTTGCTTTGTTTTGTTTTGTTTGATACAGGGTCTCTCTGTGTAGCCCAGGCTAACATGTATAGACCAGGCTTCATGTATAGACCAGGCTGGCCTCACAAAGATCCACCTGCCTCTGCCTCCGTAGGGCTGGGTTAAAGACATACACTGCCACATAACCCACACTCTGTCCCATTGAGGACTCTGAACTGGCTGACTTGGGTTGTATGGGCAGGAGATAACAAACAAAACAAGTGTCTCCCTCCTCGTTAGAGAGTCCGGGGCTGTCTTGGAGGTGGGATCTGCAACCAGGAGACAAATTCTTCATGTCCTGAAGGAGCTTATTGCCTCTTTGCTCCTGTTCAGCCCCAACAAGCAGGGACCATTTTACAGAGAGAAAGGACTGTGTTGTAGCCTGGGTGGCAGGGAGCAGTTTCTGCACTTACTGTTCTGTGGCATTTAATGCCAGCAGAAGCAGCTCATCATAATGCTGACGCTGACTCAAAGCAAATGAAGATGTTTTACCTGCTTGCTTTTAGATGTGTGTATAGGGAAAAGAAGGTAGTTTCATTTATTCCTGGGCTACTGAAATCCTTTAGCCCAATCTAGGGTAGCCATACAGCAAAGGTGTTTCTCTGTTCTTGGGAACAGGCCAGGCTAGACTGCCTGCCTGTAGCCTAGCTTGTAACTCTGGTCAGTCTTGGTGTTCACTTTTGATACAGAGCAGAAAGAAACTCCTGACCGCAATCAGGTAGAACCCCTACTGTAGTTTGTTTGGCCTGTGTGCCAGACAAGGGCTCTCCTTGCCTCTCAGATGGCATTTCCTCTTGGCAGGTGGCAGTTTACATAGCTGGACTAAGGAATGCTGGAGATAATCCTTTTGCTATGGAGTAAAGTCCTTTTTCTGTACCCTGTTCCTGACCTAGCATCCAATCCCTACAAAATAATTCCATATAGTACATTACAGCAAGCAGAACATTAGACAGGGTTCATCTAATAGAGCCCCACAACCTGGGCAAGAAAAGGGGCAGGCCAGGACTGAGCCTGTGACCCCGGTTGGTACACATGCCTGGGAAGGGCAGGTCTATACTAGTGTGACTTGCCTCTTTTGGCTAAGGAAATGTCATAGTCTCCAGGCTTTTCCTGCCTCCTTACTACAAGGCCCACCCACCATACTGTTCTTTTCTTCTGCCCATGGTAACCTCACAGTCATCTTACAGGGTCTGGCTCCCTTGTCTGATAATCCTAGAATGTCCTAAGACCTTAGGAATTCCATCTGCTTGCCTGTGGTGCCACTTACTCTGCTTCCAGAGGCTTCCATGGTTCCCTGTGGCTGTACCAAGGTGTGGGTGCAGATCCAGCATCAAGCTTTCTAGGCCAGGCCTTGATGTTACTCTGCAGCCTCCATAGTGACTTTCTAAATATAGTGTCAGTACACAGGCTTCCCTGTCCCTGGCAGAGGAAAGTCTATTAACTTGAAAGGTTTTGGATGCAAAGGGAATATGAGTAGCCTTTTGAGTGTGTACCTTTAAAAAAAAAAAAAAAAAAGAAAGAAAGAAAGAAATGGGCTAGAGACATTGTTCAATGGGTAAAAGCACTTGCTACTCTTCCATAGGACCCAAGTTTGGTTCCCAGCATCCATTGGATAGTGGCTCACAACCATCTGTAACTCCCCAGATACAACACCTTCTGGCTTCAGTGAGCATTGCACACATGAAATACACACAACCACACATACACATAAATTTAAAAATTAAAAGAGAGGCAAGAGAGCTGGTTCAATAGTTAGTAGCACTCACTGCTCTTACAGAGGGACCAGCTTCAGTTCCCAGAGCCCACATGGTAGCTCCCAGCCTCCTATAACTCCAGTTCCAGGCATCTCATATCTGGCTTCTTTGGGTTCCTGTGCATACACATGGTGCACATAAATTCATGCAGGGGCATACACATAAATAAAAGCCTTTCAAAACATAAAATAAGGGGGCTGGAGAGATGACTCAATGGTTAACAGTACTGACTGTTCTTCCAGAAGACCCAGGTTCAATTCCCAGCACCCATATGGCAGTTCACAACTGTCTGTAACTCCAAGATTTAACACCCTCACACAGAAATACATGCAAGCAAAACACCAATGCACATTAAAATAAAAAAAAAACACACACAAATATATATGTATATATGTATACATATACATACACATACACACGTGCACGAGAGACAGGAAAAACCCTGCCTTGGGAGAGGGAGGTGGCTGCTCTTGAGAGGACTTGTGTTGGATTTCCAGCATGCACATGGTGCTTACCATTATCTGTAACTCCAGTTACAAGGGATCCAACAACCTTTTCCGACCTCTTCAGACACAGGCATGCACAGAGTGCATATAAATGAAATAAGTCTTTTTTAAAATATAAAAAGCAAAGTATTCTTGAAACAGAAATTACACATAGACTGGATATTTTTATTTGTTTACTTATTTACTTTGTTTTTGGGACAGGGTTTCTCTGTATAATTTTGGAGTCTGTCCTGGAACTCACTCTGTAGATCAGGCTAGCCTGGAACTCACAAGAGATCTGCCTGCCTCTGCCTCCTGAGTGCTGGAATTAAAGGCGTGAGCCACCACTGCCCAGTTTTGTTAGCGGTTTTTAAAAATTATTTATTTTTATTTCATGTGCTTTGGTGTTTTTGCCTTCATGTATGTCTGTATGAGGGTTTTGGATCCTCTAGAACTGGAGTTACAGACAGTTGTGAGCTGCCATGTGGGTGCTGGGAATTAAACCTGGGTCCTCTGGAAGAGCAGCCAGTGCTCTTAATCACTCAGCCATCTCCCCACCCTTGTTAGTCCTTTTTAAAAGAGTCCTTTTCATAGATACACAGTGAAATACTTTTGAGTTAAATATTTAGATTTATGAGATTGGCTTCAAAAATCATCCAGTAGGTACCAGGATCTGGGCACCTGGGTCTTAGAAACTTCACTTGGGTAACAAGAGAATGAACATATATATATATATATATATATATATATATATATATATATATATATATATATATATAAAAAGAAAAGCTGGGATCCAGTGGCCATGAGTTCTGGCAGACATGCACTAGCAGCCAAGAAACTCAGATCTTTTTTTGTATACAGCTGAACAAGGAGGCTGCAGTCAACTGGTTTTAGTGCATGATTAATCTTTTGTAGCAACCATACTTGGGCCAGAGGAAGACTTTGCCATTCCTCTTGGATCTGAGGCATTGAGTTCCTCGGCATGGCAATGTTCAAGTCACTGACACACATTCACTCAGTATTTCATCAGCTCTCCACAGTGGAGAGAGGGGCAAGGGTAAGGTATAAATAAAACACGATTAGCTAAATACTGATTGATTGATTGATTGATTGATTGATTGATTGATTGATTGATTGATTGATTTTTTTGTCCCAGACAAGGTTTCTCTCTCCCTGGCTATCCTAGTACTCACTCTGTAGACTAGGCTGGCCTCAAACTCAGCAATCCAACTGTCTCTGCCTTCCAAGTGCTGGAAATAAAGGTTTGTACTACCACATCATCATCATCATCATCATCGGTTTTTCGAGACACAGTTTCTCTATATAACATTCCTGCCTGTCCTGGAACTTGCTTTGTAGACCAAACTGGCCTTGAACTCATAGAGATCCACCTGCCAATAATTAATAATTAATAATTTATTTCTTTATTATGTACACAGTGTTCTGCCTGTGTACCTGCCTGACAGAATATGGCACCAGATCTCATTATACATGATTATGAGCCATCATGTGGTTGCTGAGAATTGAACTCGGGACCTCTGGAAGAGCAGCGAATGTTCTTAACCTCTGAGCCATCTCTCCACCCTCTTGATAACTCTTAAATCCAGAGGATGGGGCTACTATTTTTCTAGTTTGGTACATATTTGAATGGTTTTCATTTTATTTTATTCTATGCGTGTTTTTGCCTGATGTGTGTATGTTTGCCTACCAAGTGCATGCCTGCTGATGGTTGTGAACCATCACATGGGTGCTGGGAACCAAACCTAGGTCCTATTCAAGAACAGCAAGTGATCTTAACCACTGACACATCTATCATTTGACAATACGGTATAAATAAAAATCATTGAATAGACAAATCTCTTAAAAATTTAAGACAAGCTTGATCCACATGGTGTGTTCCAGGACAGCCAATGCTACACAGAAAAACCCTATTTCGAAAAGCCAAATAGTATTTCACTGAAAAACTGCAATTGAAGAGGTTCTAGATATGTTCCAGTTGATAGCATGCTTGCCTAGGATGCTTGAAGTGCTGGGTTTGAGCTCTAACACCCCATAAGCCAGTGCATGCCTGTAATCCAGAGCTCCAGAGGTAGAGGCAGGAGATTCAGAGCTTGAAGGTCAACCTTAGTTACATCGTGAGTTTTAGGATGTCCTGGACTAGACCCTGACCGCACTCCAAAGGGCAAATAATCTTATAGCAGAAATCGTCTATATTAATAGAATCCTTATAAACTATACTTATAACTGTGAAAATAAGTACAAATTTGAAAGAAGTATGATTATGCCATAGTGGGGATAACTTTGCTGATTACTAAATTCTCCATAGTTTTGGGAATTTACATTTTTACAGAAGTTGTGGAGTGGTGTCATTGTTACCATTCTACCAATCCTCACATGGGCTCCCCCTCTTTTTTTTTTTTTTTACCATATCACTGTATGAATATCTGTGTCAACACTGATCTTGGGATTGTGTGACTCTGAGGACATAGTTCTCAGCCCCTAGTGTGTAGTGACTGCTTGGTAGTGAATGAATGTCTGGTTTGAGCTGCCGAAGGCAGGTGGCACCAGTTTCTGATAAGGTTGAATATAAGGGACTTGGAAAAGCTCTTTGATCAAGAACTCCAAGTAACAGCCAGAAAATTGAGTTAAGAGAAGCTGAATTAGTTTGGGGGACTATGAGGTGGCTTAGTGGTTAAGGTGCTTCTACCAGGCCTAGGTGATCTGAATTCATTTTCTGTCCCCACATGGTGGATGGAGAGAGCCAACTCATGCCAGTTTTTACAGTGCATGTGCATATAATAAGTGTGAGAGGGTGAAAAAGAGAATAAGTTAGGCTTGGTGGCCCAAGTTTATAATCCCCATATGCAGGGTCCTGAGTCAGGATTGTTGTGAATTCATGGCCACACTGGGCTACACAATGATTTCCAACAGGCTTAGGCTGCATCTTAGTAAAACCATGTCTCAAAAAAAAGGGGGGGGGAGGGCATGTGTCACACATCTATAATCCCAGCATTCAGGAGGCAGAGGCAGGAAGATCACTACAAGTCTGTTCTGGTCTCCATAGTAAGTTCCAGGCCAACCAAAGCTACAGTGTGAAACCCTGTCTCAAAAACAAAAGCCAAATAAACACAAAAGTATATGAGATTAGGAAGTGAAGAGCTAAGCATGTACCCGTAAGATGTGGCAGTTCCTGGAAAGGGAGAATGAATGGCGGCCGGCCGAGGTGAAAGACGTCAGTGGGAGGAGCAAAAGCCCACGTTTGTGTGAGCCTGCAGCCCCAGTCAAGATTCTCAAGGCTGATATGTTTTGGTTTTATTCTTCAGGCCTGGTGAATAATGTGGTGTTTACCAGTCACACGATGGAACAGAGGCACCCTCTCCTTGTTCAGCTGCAGACCCTCATCAGAGCTGCCAATCCTACTGCAGCCTTCATTCTTGCAGAAAATGGGATTGTTACAAGGTAAACTTGTGCAGACTGCACTTTGTGTACCCACCATCTTTCCCATACACAGCACCTGGCTGGCTCACAGGGTCTTCCACTGTATCTCAGACACACATGATGGAAGGAAAGGACTGACTACTGCAAGATGTCCTCTCACCTCCACATGTATGCTCTGACACTCACACACACACACAAACACGCAAACACTCTCACACACACACACTCTCACACACTCAGACACACATACACTCACACACACTCAGACACACACACTCTCACACTCTCTCACACACACTCACACACTCAGACACACACACACACACACTCTCAGACACACATACACTCACACACACGCAAACACTCAGACACACTCAATCACACACATAACACAAATAATAATAATAATAAATGTGTGTAGGTGTTTTGCCTGTGTGTGTGTGTCTGTACACCACATGCATGCCTGGTGCCCACAGGGGGGGCAGGAGAGGGTGTCAGATCCCCTAGAACTAGAGTTATTGATGATTGGAACCTTCCTTTTGGGTGCTGGGAATTAAACCAGGTACTCTGGAAGAACAGCCAGTGTCCTTAACTGCTGATCTGTCTCTCTAGCCCTGTAAAATGCTGCTCTTGCTTGTTTGACACAGGATCCCACTTTGCAGCCCTGGCTTGCTTAGAACTCAGAGACCCTCCTACCCTGCTTACTAGGCTCTGGGATTAAAACTGCAGTCAATCCCCACCGCTCCCTTCTTAAAGAAAGTACAGTTAGCACTGTGTGAAGGTCATCAAGAGGACCCCATCTATCACTGTCCTATAATGTTTTAAGATATTTTGTTAGTTTGTTTTGACAGATTCTTTCTTGTACATTGAAGAATAGAAGCCAGGACTGTCTCCAATGGTCTGTGTGCTAAAGTGTGAGAGAATATAGAAAAATGCCTGCTGGGCATTGGTGGTGCACACCTTTAATGGGAGGCATAGGCAGGCAGTTCAGTGAGTTAGAGGCCAGCCTGGTCTACAGATGTGAGTTCCAGGATAGCCAGGACTGTTACACAGAGAAACCCTGTCTGGAAATTAAAAAAAGGAAAAAAAAAAAGCTCTCTTTACTTCATGGTCTTGGTCCAAACAGCAAACTGAGGGTAGAGAATTTGTAAAAGAGAAAAAGTGCTCATTTTATAACTATTTGATTTGCTCTGCTGGCAGACTCAAAGGAATACAATATTTTATATAGTTTCAGTTTTCAAACCATACAAATACTGTTTTATTTAAAAAAGAATTGCTGGAAGGCCAGATGGTGGTGGCACACGCCTTTAATCCCAGCACTCGGAAGGCAGAGGCAGGCGGATCTCTGTGAGTTCCAGGCCAGCCTGGTCTACAGAGTGAGTTCCAGGAAAAGCTCCAAAGCTATAGAAAAACTCTGTCTCGGAAAAAGAAAAATTCTGGGCATGATGTGCATTCTGAGTCCCCGGCATTTGGAAACCAAGATGAGTTCCAGTTCAAACCAACCTGGGCTACAACTGAGAACCTCGTCTTAAAAACAAAAACCAGCTGAGGGGCAGGCAAGAGCTCTTGCCACCTCGCGGGGCAGTAGTCTGAATTTGACCCCTGAAATCCACATTGTAGATGAGAGAACTGACTCCTACAGATGTCCTCTGACCTCCACACATACCATGGCCACACGTGTACACACACTTTAGACAGCGCTGGGGAGGTGCATCTCTGTGGACATGTGTATAGAAGCTTCAGGTGTACATTCACACACAAAAAATATTGTTTTGTTATCCAGAGAAATATTTCACTGAAGTACTTGTCATACAAGCACGAGGGCCCCAGGTTGATCCTCAGCACCCATATAAAAGGCTGGGTATAGTGGTGCATGCTTGCTAGCAGGTACAGCACCCTGTGTCCAGTTCCTAGCTCACACAAAGACATAATAAGATGGAGGGCTGAGACATGAGTGTGTATATACCAGGTGCTTGTTTGGTGCCTGGGAAGGTCGGAGGAGGGCATCGAATCCCTTGAAACAAAAACTGCAGATGATTGTAAGCCACCATGGGAGCCTGCAACAATAACAGGAGCTAGAACCAACTCTCTAGCCCCTCCTTTACATTCTTAAGGTCTGGCAAGCACTGTGTTGACCAAATGATTAAACAGTAAAAGCAGTGAAGACAACATCACCAGGTAAACCAGGCTTGGTGGTACATGTCTGTAGTCTCAACACTTGAAGAAGTAGAGGTAGGAGGATCAGGTCATCCTCAGCTACTTAGTGAGTGTTGGGCTACATGAGACCTTGTATCAAAAAAAAAAAAAAAAAGGTTTCTGATTCAGTGAGTTATGGGTAGGACCTGAAATTCTACATTCGTAGAATTGCTGATCACAGGACTAAGTTCCTCAGATGTAATAGTATATTGTGGTCCTATAAGAAAAGTACTCTTTTGGGTTTTGGCAGTTTTAGTTTTATTTTGTTTGTTGTGAGACAGGTTTTCTATGTAGCCCTAGATGATCACAGACTCACTCTGTAGACCAAGCTGTCCTCAAACTCACAGAAATCTGACTGCCTCTGCTTATGAGAAATTATTCTTTGAAGATGCATATTGATGTATGTAGACGTGAACTGTTATGCCAACAACTAATTTTCATATTCTTTCTCAAGAAAAACACTGCATGCATGTGTGGAGAGGTTAACATGGACAATCCCAATTAACCCGGGTCTTCTCTGCTTTTTTTGTTTTTTTAAAGGAATGAAGACATTGAGCTGATTCTCTCAGAAAACAGTTTTTCAAGTCCCCAGATGCTACGCTCTCGATACTTAATGTTTCCTGGCTGGCAAGTATCATTACTGAATAGTGGCTTTATAAAGAAATGTGAGCCACATCCACAGCAAAGAAAGAGCAGAAATGACAATAGAATGTATGTTTCACAAGGGTCACACATGTTATCTGGGATAACCTGCCATGCCCCATAGCCTTGCCAAGGGGCCAGGGCTCCACATTCTGAGCCTCTCTGGACATTGCAATTCAGAGGGTCATCCTGCAGGTATCAAGTACAGTGGGTCTTGGTGACATAGCACCAAGGTGTAGACTCCCCAGGTAAAAAATGCCCTGCCCAGTAGTCAGCTATCCAAAGGAGGTAGGCTTCTGCTAATGAAGATCCATGGTGGCACTCACCTTTAATCACAGCACTCAGGAGGCAGAGGCAGGCAGAGCTCTGAGTTTATGGTCAGCCTGGTATACAGAGAAAGTTCTAGGACAGCCAAGGATACTCAGAGAAACCTTGTCTCAAAAAAAAAGGATGAAAGAAAAAAAGGAAGGGAGGGAGGGAGGGAGGGAGGGAAGGAAGGAAGGAAGGAAGGAAGGAAGGAAGGAAGGAAAAGTCTAGGGAGCTGGAGAGATTGCTCAGTGGTACGGAGTACTTGCTTCTTGCAGAGGGCCCCGGTTCAGTTCCCAGCACCCATGCAGTATAGTTCAAAGCTTTCTGTAAACTCTAGTTCCAGAGTGCACATGGTATAAATGCACACATTCAGGCCAAATACATATACACATAGAATAAAAATAGGTAATTTTTTAAACAATGAAAGGAAAGGAAAAAAACATACTGTAAGTAAGGCATGGTGGCATACACTGTTATCCCAGCACTCAGGAGATAGAGGCAGGAGGGTTAGGAGTTCGGGATTATCCTTGGCCACATAGTAAATTCATGGGCTACAGGAAATCCTGTCTGAAAACCTTTTAAAGGGGGCAGAGTACAATGGTGAGATCCTTTAATCTTAGTACTGGCAGAGGCAGAGGCAGGTAGATCTCTTAAGTTAGAGACCAGCCTGATTTACATAGCAATTTCCAGGACAAAACAAACAAAAAGCCTTTTTAAAGGGCTAGCAAAATGGCTCAGTGGTTAAAGAAGCTTTCACTCATGGCCTGAGTTCAACGCCTGAGTCCCTCACAGTGGAAGAAGAAAACCAACTCTGGCCTCCCTGTGTGCACTGTGACAAGTGCACACACACATACATGCTCTGCTGTTAGAATGGTATAGATGATTACTCATACAATGGTTATGTCCTCCCCTGGAGCGATTCCAAGTCAAAAATAAAAGTCCTTCGCTTCTGAGTGATGAGATACAGGGGTTCATTATACTCTCATACTTCTGTTTTTGCTTTAAACGGGTGAAATGTTCTGTATTAGAAAGTTTCCAAATGTAGACATGGCAGTTCACACTAACAGTGACAGCTTTTAGGAAGAAGCAGGAGGACCAGGGTTTCAGCACGATCTATAGTAAGCTCAATCTGGGGAAATGAGAACTTGTCTTCAAGAAAGAAAAAAAGTGTTTCATCCAGGTATAGTGGTATTTAGGGAACACAGCAGTGACAACCCATCTCCTTAGCTCCTTCTAGAGAAATATGTATGTTTTGAGTTGCCCACTGTGAGATGGACGTGCTTGGAGTGTGGAAAATAATCCTAGCTGTTTTGGAAGTTGAACCAGGTGACTCTCTGGTTCAAAGTGGGGGCAGGGTGAGGTGGGGGTGGGTGGCTCCTACTGTGTTAGGAAGGACTCCTAGTGCCCTTAGCATCTGAGGGAGGGAGTCCACAAGCCCTTGACTTCAAGGAACTTCTGCTAGTCTTGAGAAGTTGGACCTGTGTTCTCAGGAAGGTCTTGCTCCAAGGAGCTAGCATGCTTCCGAATCTTGCATCGAAGTGGAGGGGTACACATTGGAAACAGTGCTTCAGCCAGGCAGTGGTGATGCATGCCTTTAATCCCAGCACTTGGAACGGGAGGCAGAGGCAGGAGGATCTCTGAGTTCAAGGCCAGCCTGGTCTACAAAGCAAGTCTCAGGACAGCTAGGGCTACACAGAGAAAAACCCTGTCTCCAAAAAAAATAAAATAAAAGCTAAACCCTTAGCCCCATATAAACTAGGTGTGGTGCCCCATACTTTTAATTCCTTCGTTAAGGAGGTGGAAACCCAGAGGATCAGAAAGTTAAGGCTACCCTTGGTTACATAGCGAGACCAACCTGGTATAGATAAGCCCCTAGATCATATAGGAAAAAGAAGAGGAAACGATATTGTAAACAAAATAGTGTATTAGTGAGAGAGGATTGAACAAGAGATGAATAGTTCATCTCAGGATAGTATAGTGTATTAGTGAGAGAGGATTGAACAAGAGATGAATAGTTCATCTCAGGATAGTATAGTGTATTAGTGAGAGAGGATTGAACAAGAGATGAATAGTTCATCTCAGGATAGTATAGTGTATTAGTGAGAGAGGATTGAACAAGAGATGAATAGTTCATCTCAGGATAGTATAGTGTATTAGTGAGAGAGGATTGAACAAGAGATGAATAGTTCATCTCAGGATAGTATATATAACGCTGAAACCCCCAACCCTGAATGGATGAGATGGGGGCAAGGGGGCTACAGCCTATTGTATATATACATGAGTCTGTCAAAGAACTTAAAATACTTGTTCTTGCATTTAAAAACTTTAAGGTACGAAGGTAAATTTGATTCTGGATCCGTCTTTCCACTAATGGTTCAGATCTGCGTATGGTTTGACCGTCCTCTGGAAAAAACCCGCTTTGTGGCCAAGTGTAAAGGTGAGGCACGGCTAGGGCATGTCTCACCCTTCCCTGTGGCCCCATTTCAGTCAGTATCCTTGGTGCTTTCTCCATACTGTCGGGGTTTGATGAGCTCAGAGTCCCTGGGCTCTGATTGTGTGGCCACATTTAGGTCACTCCGAGGGAATAGTGGCAGAGGCCCTGGGCCAGAGAAGATGAAGATGGGAGCTCTGAACCTTGAGCCCTCCCCCTGGCCCTGACCTTTCCAGCTATGATGGCCTAAGCTTGGCCTCTGTGTCCAGATAGCTGACACCCTATCCTTTTCCTCCACCAGCAATTCGCTCTTCCATCAAGCCAAGTCCCTTCTCTGGAAATATCTACCACATCCTTGGCAAAGTAAAGTTTTCAGGTAAATGCGGCTGTCTTGGTGGCTGGGGCGCTCACACTCATGGTTTACATTGTAGCCTCTTCTGGCACTGCTTCCCTGCTCCATGCTCAGTCCTCTCTGCCAGAGTGAAAAATCTGCCCTCTGCTCCTGGGTTATTCCCCACATCTCCTTGACTCCCACATCCCACAGACCTACCCCCCACATGGTCACCCATGGCCCCCTCCTAGCCCTCCTCCCAGACTTGACAAAACCAGAGCTCCCAATCTGGTCAAAATCTTGGAACTCTATTTTCCTCCCTTTTGTTTAATAAGCCTTAGACCCCCCTGGAGCCCTTATAAAACCCTGTTGATTTTCTGAGGATGGGGGTCAGAGAGAATCTCAAACATGTCACCTCAGTGTTGAGGAAGAGGAGCAAATGCCAGGAAAAAGAACAATGTTTGCCACAGTCCAGAGGCAGAAAAGAAAGGAACCACAGCAGTTTATTACATCTGAGCGGATGAAAGGTTTGTGCTGGGGCCTCCAAATCTTGGAGGAAGAAACTCCAGTGAGCAGCATAACCCCTCTGACAACAGTCGAGAAGGCTGTGCTACAGGACTCGGCCATTGAAGCCCAGCTAATGTGTGTCCATGCTTTCTTGCATTCTTTTATAAATCTGTGTTATTTACACTTTTACATGTTTTGCCAACATGTATATGTGTACCACATGTGCCTAGTATCCATTTAGATTCCCTGCACCTGGAGTTATAGATGGTGTGATGCTGTGTGGATACTGGGAATCAAACCCTGATCCTCTAGAAGAGCATTCACTACCTCCTCAAGTTGCTGCCCCTCAGGCTGCTGGGTAGTGCTTAGTCCCTGGTATCACACATTCAGCCCCTGGGGAGATGTTGCTGTTTTCCTGGGTGTTATTATCAGTGCAGAGGCCTCTCCTTTTCCAGCCTTGCAGAGGCAGTGATGAGTGGCCCATCTTATCTTGCCTACAAGCCTTTTCTTCCTCTTGTGTTCCTCTGCCTGTTAAGTGTGTGTCTGATCACCCACACCAACCAAGCCATAAACATCTATTTTATCCTTTCCAACTTGCCACTACCTATCATGTCAGTTCTTAGGAATCTGTCAATCCGCCAACACCGTTATAGTGTAGCATTCTTTTGGGATTTGATCTCAGGGACAAATGTGTTCTCTGTGCAGATTCTGAAAAGACCATGGAGGTCTGTCACAACACTCTGACCAACTCCCTGAGCATTATGCCTGTTTTGGAGGGACCCACTCCACCCCCCAACTCAAGAAGCACACCTCAAGACAGTGGGCAGCCAGAATGCTACCTTGTGTTCATTGGCTGCTCCCTGAAGGAAGACAGCCTCAAGGACTGGCTTCGACAGTCAGCTAAGCAGGTGACTTACAAAACCAACAGAGCACATTCCACTGATCCTGGCCTTCTTCCCTCTGACACCCACTAGTATACACCTCAAGGCTCAGCCGGTACTTAGGAACATTCTGGGATTAAGAAGCAGCCTGTCAGGGCAAACTCCAGGCAGATATGGAAATACTGTGTTTTGTTTTGTGTTTGGGGTGTTTTGTTTGTTTTTCTGAACAGGGTCTCTGTGTAGCCCTAGTTCTAGGCTGTCCTCTATAGACCTACTAGCCTGGAACTCACAGAGGTCTGCCTGCTTCCCTGCTTCTGCCTCCCAAGTGCTAGGATTAAAGGTATGCACCACCACCACCCAGCTTGGTTTTGGGGGTTTTGTTTCTTTGTTTTTCAACACAGGGTTTTTTGTAGGGGAGGTTGTTTGTTCTTTGTTTGTTTGTTTGTTTTTCAAGACAGGGTTTTCTGTGACAGTGCTTGCTGTCCTGGAACTATGTAGATCAGACTGGCCTCAAACTCACAGAAATCTCCTAGCTCTCGAGTGCTGAGATTAAAGGCCTGGACTGTGTACTTTTTTTTTTTTTTTTTTTTACGTGTATGGATGTTTTGCCTGCATATATGTCTGAACCACTTGCGTGCCTGGTACCTGTGGAGGCTGGAAGAGGTCAGATCCCTTGGAGCTAGAGATAGAGAGAACTGGGGGATGGAAGTCAACTCCAGGTCCTTGGAAGAGCAGTGCTCCGTGCTGCTGAGCATCTTCCAGCCCAGTACTGTGTACTCTCACACCCAGATGCTCTAGAAGCTGTGGTGCCAAGCACAGGCAGTATCGGTGGTTTGGTTCGTCCTGAAACTCCAGGAGTAGCGTTGCTTGGGTCCTGGGTCTTGTCTATTGAGGATAGTCTTCTAGAAGCTATGAGCTGCCTCAAGTGGTTAAATTCTGCTTTTGCTTTGCCTTTGTTTTAAAGAGGTGTTTTGTAGGAGGTTGTGTGTTTTGTTGGCTGAGGTGGTTAGGCAGAATCTCACTATGTAGGCCAGGCTGGCTTCAAATCTTTACTCCTCCAGCTTTAAGTCTCCCAAGTGCAGGGATCACAGGTGTGTGTCACCACTCCCTGCTTTGGATAATGTCTTAAATGTTACTAGACTGTGAAACCTCAGGCTGTCCATTACCTGTCATTGCTGTGGTTTAAGCACCAGAATCTGCCAAGAGGCAGGACTATGCCTGCCCATTTGCAAAGCACTGGGCTCTCTACCATGTGTTTCCAACTATCTTTCAGGGCTCTGTGGTGGGAAAGTAGTTTCCTCAGGGGAGTAGACAAGCAAGATAGCATGTCCACAAAAGCTGGTTCATACACTCTTCCTTCTTCTGGGATCTTCGATATGTACCTGGCCCCCACACTCCTTTAGGCCTTCAGCTACCCTTGTGTGCCTTCTGCTCTGTTGAAATGTGTGTTCTCTCCACATCTGCGTAGAGGCCTCAGAGGAAAGCTCTGAAAACCAGGGGAATGCTGACCCAGCAGGAGATCAAGACCATCCATGTGAGTGGCCTGCCCTAGTGCTTGTCCTAGACTTGTAGTGCTGTCCTGGGTTCCTTCACAGGGCGAGGAATTATTTGTAGGATACCCTGGCAGCCTTGCTTCTCTCTGGACACAAAGGGAAGCTGGTCAAGAAGCCTGACTTGTAGCTTCAGTAAATGGAGTAACCACTTCTGCTGTGCCTGTTGATGAGGTGGAAGAGGTCTGGTACCCGTAGGAGGACTGGATAATGGGAAGCCTGGCCTTCTCAACCTGTCCAAGTAGTTTTATAAAACCTCTGCTTAAGATAATTCACACAGAAAGCAGCTGAGACCCAGAAGAAAGCCATATAGACAAAGTTGTTCATGGGAAGGCTATGAGATCCTAAGGCCAAAGTGAGATTTCCTAGGTAAGTAAGTGTTAATAGCAGACTGACCCCAGACCTCTTCCCAAAGCCCATACACACTGAGGCCTCAGGACAAAAGACCAAAAGCCACATTCCAAGCCCTGTCACGGGCTGTCAATAGTCCCACTCTCTGTGCACCAGGCCTGGTGCCTGTAGAAGCCGGAAGAGGGCATCAGATCTCAAACTGGAGTTACAGATGGTTGTGAACTACCATGCGGGTGCTTGGAATTGAACCCAGGTCTCCTGAAAGAACAGCTGAGCCACCTATGCAGTCCGCTGGCCTGGAACTCACTATGTACACCAGGCTAGCCTCAAATTCCTAGAGATCCACATACCTTTGCCTTCAGGGAACTAGGATTAAAGGCGTAGGCCTCCATGCCCAGCTCTGTTTATTTGTTTTGAATGAGTGAATGATAAAAAGTTGTCAGATTATTCAACAGGATTCTTTTCCAACAGGTGAAACGACACTTGGATCCCCTACCTGCAGGCTACTTTTACAATGGCACCCAGTTTGTTAACTTCTTTGGGGACAAGACCGATTTTCACCCACGTATCCTTGGAAACAGTTTGATCCCAGTGTGAAAATGTAGGATATGCAAGCCTCCCCTGTAAAATGGGTATCTGTTAGGACCAGCACACTCCAAGTGCTAGGAGCAGACAGGGTCTGTAATCCTGAAGGAGCTCACAGGGACAAATCCCACAGGCACCATGTTGTCCTTTTATAGTTGTTGTTATTAGATTTGCCTTTTATTGAGCTGTTGTAATGTTACACTCCATGAGGTGTGGTTGTAAGATAGCATTGGTAACAACAGGGTCATAGCATACAAAGTGAAGATGGCCTGTTACAGCAGTCTGTGTGTGAAGAGAAGGACAGGATGAAATAGAACACTAGCAAGCTTCATGATGCCTGTTACCCTCATGGTAGTTGAGATGCTCTGTATCAGATAGTTTGGTTTCCCATGCCTCACCTGCCCACAGGTCCCCCTGGGATAAGCATTCCTTCCTGTCCTCCAGGCTCATATCTTACCACCTTAACCAGGTGCCAGTCATGGACCAGTTCATGAATGATTATGTGGAAGAGGCCAATCGGGAGATCGAGAGGTACAACCGTGAGCTGGAACAGCAGGAATACAGTGATCTCTTTGAGCAGAAGCCCTAAAGAAAGCTGGGCCTGTGCCCACCAGAGATGAATGAACGAATGGGTGTCCATCTTTCCTAGAAGGCCCCTCCTGAAGGGGTTGTCTCTGTCCTCCCTGGCCTGTGCCTGCCAGCGTAGTATATGTTGTCTTTATTCTCTCTCCTCTCTGCACCCTGACGAGTGGGGGCAATGCACAGGATGAGCAGCTCTGGTGTCTGGTAAAGGAATCTCCCTCAGACTGCTGGGCTGAGGAGAAGCCTTTGGCTTGCACAGTGAAGCAGCTGGGATTTAGAAGGAGCCCTGGTTGCCTAAGCAGTGGCCAGTCAGAGAGCCACAATGCCTTCTAGATGAGGGCACTTTTGTGGGATGAATGGAAGCAAGATAGGATGCTTTCTGGAAGTGTGAGGCCCCTGTGTTAACAGCAGCACTCCCGGAGTTGGTCCGAGAGAGCTTGGCTCTCTAATTCAGAGATAAGAGCAGGCCTGCTGCCCAAGCCCTGGCAGTGCCTCACCTCCCGGTCAAGGTGAATATCCTGCAACTGGTTAGTCTTGGGCCCAGGGTCTAATTGTTTGGGGGCTGTCGGTCTCTGACACCCAGCCTCCTCACCCCGTGTCATGGAAGGCAATACATTTCAGAAAAGCTCCCCTGAAACTGCCCCTGCCCCTGCCCCTGGATTTGTTTACTTTGTTCCTGAGGCCCAGGAATTTCAAGAGTTCTGATATCCAAACTAGAATCCATTGGACCATACAGCAAAGTGAACTAATTTGCATCCCAAGACTGACCTTCCTAGTTAGAGTGGGGAACAAGGTCACTAAAGGTGACTTCTGCTAGAATGTGAGTGCCTCTGCTGCTTGGACTATAAACGTTCCCTGAGTTTCATGGACTTTCTTGCATGCCTTAGGAAAAAGCACATAGGTAAAGCCAGCATCGTGTTCTGTAATGTAGATGCTTTTGAGGAAGGACCTTGGCACAGTGGGTGAGGTAGATGGAGCATATGAGGCCATGTGCCTTGTAACTGAGCTGTTTGGGCAAAAAGCAAAGTAATAATCAAGGCTTGTCAATAAAATATACTTTTATTAAAAAAATTAGAACAAGTACCATTGATAAGAAATATTTTGTTAAGAAAAGCTTGTGAATAAAGGCCCATATGCTCCAATCCCATCTCCAGAATACACCGGTGACAAGGCCCTTCTGTTGACCTCCAGCTGACTCCACTGGGGTTCAGTAGCATAGATCGTAAGTGCAATTGATTAATAAGCAATGAGTTATCTTCACCAAGCTCTTTTTAAAAACTAAAATTTGAGCTAGCAGCCTTAGAAAAGGGAAAGGGGACCACAAAGCTATTTCATTTCCTTTGGGGGGGTGGAGGGGGAGGACCACAGGCCATTTCATTTCCTGCAGGGTTACTGTGAAGTCTCCAGTGGAAGCTCTAGATTAAGAGCTCTGGCTGCTTTGGCCTGGCAGTCTGGCTGCTGCACAAAAGAGTTTTTAAAGAGGGGTTGGGGCCACGCTGTGTGGTGAACTTGGTTTCTGACCATTATCCATAGAAATCTGCTTTCACCAACCTGCCCCGCCGCCCCGTTCCTCTCATCAGAGGGAAAACCGATTACCTCAACTTGAATATAAAACTGTGGTTTCGAAGAAAAAGGCAGAATATTCATAAGTTCTTTGCCAGCTGAAGCCTCTGTAGATGCTCCCAGCCTGCACGGGAGTCTGGAGGGGCCCAGCAAACACACACTGTGAGTTCTTTGAGGACCAGGAGGGGACTGGGCTTCTCATGGGCTGCTCCCTACAACCCACGGGTCTCTTGACGTTGATGGTGGGATATGACATTCACTTTGACCTGTAGGTCTGAGGCTATCTCCTGAGGAAAAGCCATGGTGCTGGTTCAGCCTCTGATCTTCGAAGTGGATAGCAGGGACCTAGCAGGGATTTTAGGGATCAGCTCCCAGGACAGGCAAAGTCCTCCAGGGGCTTGTGTGCTTTCCACCAGCTTCGCTATTATGTTAGCAGCTTCGGTTGTATCACCAGAGTGTGTGTGAGTGGTGAAGTCACTGAAGTTATGGGTTATTTGGTTTTAATGTGGGATTTCCCCTTGTTGACTGGAGGGAAGAAGCAAATAATTGGAGCCAGGTTGGCCCCCAAGCCCTCAGGCTCTTTGACCTGAGGCCTGAACACTAGCCCTTTAGGCTGTGTCAGTACAAATGTCCCTCCTAAATCCTGTTAGGATTTTGGAGAATTTTTGCACAGTAATAAGCTCTGGCTTCTCAAAAGGGAAAAGTTCAGCTCAAAGACTAAACTGTTAAGTATTCCAGCAGTGCTGCTAACTAGTTGATAGCCGTACCTCAAAAACTGATGGGAGGTGGCTTTCTCACTGTCCCTCAGTCACGTACTAATGGAAGAGCTCGCTTACGTGCCAAAATTCACTTTTATACTAGTTTTTCAATGCTTTAATATTTGTAACTTAAATTTTAAAATTCATATTTACAAACACTACTATAACTTCAGTGAAACTGAACTGTGTGATTGAAGCTTTTTGCTTATTATAGTATTTATTACACTACTTAATTCAGTAAATATATAAAAGTAGCCTTCAATTTATTTTTATATTATTTTACATGTTTTTACCTGCAGTTGTGTCTGTGAAATTCCCTTGGAGATTAAGATGTAATGCTAAGGACCAATAAACTGTCACTCAGCAAGTTGTCTCTGTCCCTGACTGTCCCGTGTCCCAGGTGCCGTGTCCCAGGTGTGGCTTTGGAAGGAGGAGCCCTGGGAACTGGAGGCTTCTCAGTCTGGCTGGGGTGTTCCTGGCTAGGACTGCTGAGAGGAGCCCATGAAACTCACACTTGGGGCCCCCTCAGAGGGTAAAACATGACAGTTACCCACCCTGGCTTATACACTTAAGGAGCCCCCAGAAACTGGAGACAAGGTACACAAAACTAAGTGTCCCAAAGAAAAGCTCCCTATGCCCCAAGTGCTCCCTGCCCACTCCTCTCCACTTCTCCGTTTTCATGCCAGGCTCAGGGCGGATCATGCTGGGCACGTGGCTCCATCGCTTCCCCACATCCCCAGTCCCTTCACCCTCCTCCTGGTTGTTGCCTTCTTTGAAACAGGATGTCATGTAGATCTCAGACTTGCTATGTAACAGAGGCTGGCCTAGAACTCCTTATGTATGTTCTCAAAAGTAATAGGTTTATAAGCATGTGCCACCATGTTTACTCACCCAACCCTGACCATGTGGCAAAGCTTCATTGGAACAATGCCTTTACAGCTTTTCAACTCCTTTTACAAGCTCTGTGAGTTTAACCCTCACTCTCACTTTATGGATGGGGGCAACTAAGTCACCAGCTGGCAGGGTAACTGGCCCAGCACTAGGGCCACTGGCCTCATCTAATTAAATCTGAAAAGCCTCTGGAGTGGGGCTGTGGGAGCACTGGGCTTCCAAAGTTGGCCCAGTATGTGCAACACTAGAGGAATAAAACAAAACACAAGCTGGCATGGGGTTTGTATCACATGGCTCAGGCCTCCCATGGCTCCCGTCTACCCTCTCCGCCCCAGCCCCAGTGCTGAGAGGAAGGAAAGGGGCCGATTCTTGAGGGATACCTCTCCCAGGCAGCCTGATCCAAGCAGCTCTTGCTTCCTGTCAGATCCACAGGGACCTGAAGCAAAGGGAAGTGCCCCAAGGGCAGCTTTGGGAGTTGGCCCAAAGGAGGAGAGCTAAGAGCAGGCTTCCTGAAACAGTGCAGAAAAAGCTTGGGGAGTTAAATGCCACAGTACATGGGAAGGTCTGGTAGATGTGGAAAGGGTGGCAGCAATAGCCCTGCCCCCAAGCCTGCTGCCTCACATCTTGCAGACTAGAGGCCCAAGTTCAGGAAGATTGGGCGGGGAGAAACAGTAAGTGTCAAGGGCTTGCTCCCACCCATCACAGCGTATCTCCAGGACGAGCTTTTGGAGCTTTCCTATCAGACAGATGCACCTGACTGATTTCCATAAACACTGTTTTCTGGTAGGTAGTCTCGTCTTTTCTAGTACAAGTTATAGGAAGAGTGTGGTTTTTTTGTTTGTTTTTGTTTTTCATTGTGCTAATGACTATGTTTAACCAAGGAAAGGAAAACTTTAAAAAACATTGTAAAGCCAGGCAGGATGGTATATGCCTGTAATCTAAGTCATCTGGCAGGAGGATCAGGAGTTTAAAGTCAGCCTTGGCTATGTCGTTTAAGGCCAATCTGGGCTATATGAGCCTTTGTCTTCACAACACTGGCAGGAGTGGTTACCTGGCCAGCACAAATCATTGCACAAAATGTGTGTCAGGTGAGTAGGAGGGAAGGGGAGGAGCTGGGAAGAGTTGAGGAAGGGAAAAGAATATAATCAAAATACATTGAATGGAATTCTCTGAATGGCTTAATCTAAGGACCTCTGTTCCCTAGAACTTGTTTAAAAGAAAAAAAAAAAATCCTGTCTGAAGAGATGGCTTTCTGCCATTTACAGAACTAAGGAGAGATGACTCCTATTCCACAAGAACCTGGGTGTGATCTCCAGCACCCACATAGCAGCTCACAAATCTATAACTCCAGTTCCAGGACACCCAACACCTTCTTCTGGCCTCCAGTCACACAAGTGGTGCACAACTACACATGTAGGCAAAACAAACTCATAAAAAGTAAAAGAAAACTAAATCTGGGTATGGTGGGACATGTGTATAACACCGGCACTGGGAGATGGAACTGGGTAAATCCCTGAGGCCCACTGATTGGCCAGTTATCCAGCCTAGCCTACTTGGCAAGTTCCAGGAGGTAAGAGACTATCAGGGGGTTTGGAAGAGGTGTTGGGGGGAAGTGAGTGGCACTGAGGAACTTGATAGAGGAAGGTTGTCTTCTGACCTGTGTGTAATATTCCTTTACACTGTGTGAATATATGTCACTGTGATTGGTTTAATAAAGAAGGTGACTGGCCAACAGCTGAACAGGATAAGGTTAGGCAGAACAGCCAAACTAACAATGATAGGAAGAAGGACAGAGACAGAGAAGTCACCAGCAGATACAGAGAAGAACGATGGGCATGTGGTACTCAGAAAAGGTGCCGAGCCACATGGCAAAGCATAGATAAGAAATATGGGTTAATTTAAATTAAGAGTTAGCTAGTAACAAGCCTGAGCTATTGGCCAAGCATTTATAATTAATATTCAGTCTCCATATATTTGGGAACTGGCAGGTGAGAAATAAACATCCACCAACAGGCCTGCACACACATGAGCACTGGCATGTACACAGTAGGGTTGCAGTTTAGTTGATAGAGTACTAGCTTAGCATGCAAGCCCTAGGTCCCACCCTCAACACTGAATAAATTGGACATAGTGGCACACACCTGTAATCCCTCATGGGTGGCAGAGGCAAGCAGACCAAGACTTCAAGGTTATTTTCAACAGCACAGAGTTTAAAGTCAGTCTGGGCTTCATGAGACCCTGTCTCAAAAAATAATAGGAAGGGCTGTAGAGATGATTCAGTGGTTAAGGGCACTTGCTGCACTTGCAGAGGACCCAGGTTCCATTCCTGGCACTAACATGGTGGCTCGAAAGCATCTGTAACTTCAGTTCCAGGGGACCCAATGCCCTCCTCTCATATCTACAGGTACCAGGTATCAACATGGTGCACATATACATGCAGGCAGACACATATAATATAATCTGCACATTAAAATTAGCAGGTTTGGTGGCACACACCTTTAATTCCAGCATTTGGGAAGCACAAGTGGATATGAGTTTGAAGCCAGTTTTAGCTAGATAGCAAGTTCCAGCCGGCCAGGGCTATATAGACCCTGTGTCAAACAAGCAAAATAATTCACCACTATCCCACAAATTGAGAAAAGGCCACTACTACTTGGCTGTATAGTTCCTTTGTACACCCAGAGCGTGAATGTCCTGGGAGGAGCGTATTTGACGATCATCTTTTTCCCTTTAAAATAGACTTATCTGGGGGAGGCAGGACCTGCTGCTCCAGGTTGCTGGTGGTAATAAGTGTACCAAACAAAGCCGTTTTGAAGGGACAGCTGATGACAAGACAGTGGTTGACTTGATGGAGATGGAGGACTTGAAGGTAAAAGTGGAAAAAGCCGAAATGGAAAAAACCTAATGTTCTGAAACAATGCCAAACTTGCTTCATTCTCCAAACATCTGAAGAAAAATAAATGTGTTTATCAACAAATTATTCTCCTTTCCCTCTTCAAGGCTTCTGAATTGCTAAATTGACGAGCTTAAAGCAAATCTACAGGAGGCTCAAAATGTTTTATTTCATACTAGTAAATAAAAACCTGCAAAGGAGGAAATCAACCCAACAGTTTGCATGTGCATGCGCCCACCTTACCCCACAGGGATTGCTGCTTTTCCAGTGTCAGAGAAGAAGCTGAAGTTTTTCCCTCTCACTGTTTCATGTTTTCGGAAGTCACACATCTGAAATGTCATGCTTGGGTGAATGTACAAATAATAAGAGAAATAAAGACAACAGGAAAAAGGAAAGATGGACTGATAAGGAAAACTGTTCAGTCAGACTAAATCTTCATGGAATTTTCTAACTAAAAAGATTCATTTCAGACAGGGTGAGTCAGTCAGACACTTGCTGTGCAAGCATGGAGGCCTAGGTTCCTTCTAGAGCACCCACATAGAAAACAATAAGGTGGGTATCCTGTCTTGAACTGGTAATCCAGTGTCGACTGGGAAGTGGAGGCAGGCATATCCTGACCAGCCAGCCTAGCTTAATTGGCAACTTCAGGTACCAATAAGACAAAGTAGACAGTTGACCTCTGGCCACCATCCTTGCCCATTGTCCTCATAAGTGCCTGGCCATGTAAATAGACCCCACATTTGAGCATCATTGGTTTCAGTGAAGGTTTTATTTATTTATTTATTTGGCTGGTTGTTTGTTTGGTTTGGTTTCTTGAGACAGGGTCTCTCTGTATAGCCCTGACTGTCCTGAAACTCACTATTAGCCCAGGCAATCCTTTCTTCCCTTGTAGTGGGATTAACGGTCTGTGTCACCATGCCTTGCCTACATTATTTTTGAGACAGAGTCTCACATATTCAGAATGGTGTGAGACTCTGTGTAGGTGAAGATGACCCTGAACTTGCTAATCCTCCTGCCTCTGCCTCTGCCCGGGGTATAGCTGGCAATCTGTACCTAAGTGGGAGTGGAGGAATCATTGGCTTGAAATACTACCATCTTTGTTAACTCTTTCCTTAACAAACCAAACGTTTGGACATGAAAGCCCAACAGGAGACTGAATATGCATATAGGGAGACACTAATAGGTGTTCCAAACAGCATCATTTATTACATGTCTTTTATTCCTCACGCTGTACCCTTGAAGGACAAGCATACAGACCTGCTGTCAGGTGCTCACATCTAGCCAGGGGGATGGAACCAGAAACAGGTAAAAAGAATGGATCGCAGTATCCCCAAGCAGGAACCAGGAGAGCCTGCCAAGGAAGGCAGGAAGTAAGATGAACCAAAAGTCTCTGAGGCTTGAAGAGTGAACGGGGTCATTTTAAGCTCCTGAGGCTCCAGGCAGGAAGGAACTGGCTGAGGGTCCGTGGCAGTCCCTCCAGGTAGAATGACATTCCCAGGAGCAGGAGATGTAAAATGAGGCCAGGGACAGGCTTAGCCAGCTTGTGTAGCAGCCCCCTTCCACAGGCCAGAGTGATTCTCTTT